TGCTCGACGGAGGAGGAAGGAGGAGTCCATGTGGATAAGTAACTCATCTCCAAACATAACCTAATAACCCTTAACATAATTATAAAATGGTATACTGTTGCTCCTGTGGACTCAGCACCTGCAGAAGGATCAGTGAGGGGCTGGTGCTCTGTGTACTGGGTGCAGCTCTGACTGCCACCCCCCCGACCCAGATGGATTAAGGGGAAGAAAATGGACGGTTTTTAGTCTAGTTTTTAGTACATGTTGGAGCTCTGTTTTCTCAGTCGCTGCAGGATAAACTCTACATTCCTCATTTGTTGTGATTTTGGACAGTGACTTGTTCCTCTGTTTTGCAATATCTATATTTAACCCTCTCTGTGTTTGTGACTTGTCCAAAACAATGGACCAGTCCATCAGGCTCTGCAGCAGTCCGCCACTCCACCTCCGCTGTGAGTGTGTGTAAGACTTACACAAGGCATCAGCAGACTTACACAAGGCATCTGTCACAATACACACACACACATGTTTACAGACGCACGCACACACATGTTCAGACACACTATATACACATGCACATACAGACCATAATATACACACACACATATATACGATTGCATGCACACACACACACACCACAATATACACACACACACCGCATCACAATATCCACATTCATCCAGACACATGTACATACACACACACGCCCCACATCAAAATACACACACAAAAACTATTTCAGACATAAAAGTGAAACAGATAGGACCACCCTCACTCAGTCAATCAGCTCTCAGCCCGAAGCATCATATACTGACTCACAGGTAACATTTGTTAAAACTCACAGGTAAAATTACTGCTTTTTTTTGGTAGATTTTACATTTTATTGTTTTCCAACATGTGCTGAAGATTCAAGTTGCTACAGTCGTATGTGCTGAGCTGCAACACAAGAAAACAATTGTACAAGCATCGGTTTCTGTGACAACACGGCAAAGTTTACAAAAAATACATATCAAATACAGTCATCGCCAGTCTTTTTGAGGAATTACAATCTCATGAAAACAGTACAGACATACAACGCTAAAGGTGCATGCACTATGTGACCTGCTTTCACTATTGTTGTTGAATGGACGTTTTTTTACAGCCATAGATTTTTCTACTATTTCCTTTTCCCATGTTTCGGGGATAAATGCAATAGAATTGGTTTAATGCTCTACTGAGAAACATTCCCGGCAAAGGAATAACCATGGACACAAGCAGGGGACAGAAACACTTTGCACCTTTAACTAAATAGTCATTCAATATGCAGAAAGACTAAATTATATAACTAAAGCATAGGCCATATCATCCATCCCTGTTTCTTTCTGCTGTGTAAAGTCTCTGAGTCATAATATAGGCAAACTAATAAAACTGTCTATGATAATGTTAGTATAAAATGTGCAAATTGTTGAATTGGTGGGACTATACATTATTAGTTTTAGTTTGAATCGTCAACAAACAACAACATGAGTTTTCGGAGAGGGACAGCACAAAGCAACACTGTATTTAGAGAGGACTGATTAACGTATTATGGAAACAAATTCAGTATTTTTTGTGTGAATCATTGGGCTAAGCATGACATAAAGAGGTTTTTATGAGTGCTAATTATTGCAGAAAGACCTGGAAATTATAAAATTGAAGTTGATGTTATTGCATCTTTGCTTTGGTCAAATGTATTCAAAATCTCATGTTCACTGGTATTTTATAGTGTAAACAAATTCATTGAAATAATACAAATTGCTGGAATAATCAATTCTCAAAATAGTTACAGCCCTCCGTAGAAGGTTTGTTGGTATTAGTTTAGCCAAAAAGAACCAGATGTACAGTAAGTCAAAAATAAATATAACATTGTACATTTTATCAAGCTTAAAACAAAAATGTCTTGGTCTTTTTAAGAGGAAAGCAAATTGTCACTTGAGAAAGACATTGCTAGTGCTCTTTAAATAAGACATTTTTGTTTGTACCATTGGCATACCTTTAAACGTTTTTTGACCATCCTAATACCAGCCCGTAATAAAAGCTTTCGCCAGGATTCCGAAAGGTGCTACACACACACGTTATATTTCATCATCGTCTTCCTCACAAACACGTGATGATGATGCGGTGTACAGGTCTTGTGCATTGAATTTTCATGATTGAGGTTTGGTTCCACTTGAGAAAACAGCGAGCATGTTTCCCCAGCAGGGATCCTCATGCGTTCCCTTTGAAATGCAAAACTGAAACTACGAAATGTGAACAGTGCAGAGGTACAACAATCTGGATACACACAATCAAAGTACTTTCACTTTCTGCAGACACAACCCCAGTCGACGCAACGTTGAAAAGACATCGCAAAAAATATATATAAAAGGTACATTACAATGCATATACAGTGATTAAACAGGTAACCGCCGGCTCTTGTTGTTATTGGCACAGATTATTTAATTGGTGAATGGAAATTTCGTTTTTAGTGTATCGTTTTTATCCGGTCTGCTGTCATACATGGATGCTCCTTCATGCGTTTTTAAATGTGCAATGCAAATCTTAACTTCATCCCACTTCTCATGGCGATTGCCAAAGCTCAGCCTGTCGATGTGAAAGAACACATAGAGTTGTGCTTGAAAGTTCACAACACAGAGCAGAGATTTATGGTCGTATGTAAGTAATCTTTAGTAATCTTTATTTATATACCGCCTTTTCACTGCAAATCTCTCTCTGCAGGTCTCAAAGCGGTTTACAATTGTTAATTTTGGGCAATTGTCTTTCACTCCACACAGAGATGGGAGCGGGGCCAGTACAGGAAGCACATCAGCACCAGAACTATTGGACATATTTTTAGTGGTAAGGGAAACCGGAGTACCCGGAGGAAACCTACGCAGACACGGGGAGAACATGCAAACTCCACTCAGAAAGGCCCTGGTCCGACCGGGATTCGAACCCAGGACCTTCTTGCTGAGAAGCGAGAGTGCTATCCACTCAGCCACCGTGCCGTATGAAGCCATATATGGTCAAATAAATGTGTTTCATTTCTAACATAACTGATCCGCTCTGGGGAGATCTCAAATGTGCAGTTTGTGCAAGGCGGCCCAGGAATTTATAGGACCTGGAGGCTTTTTGCGGAGAAAGGGCAGCTTTGAGGATTAAGACCTCATCCACATTTGTCAAAGGTAAAATAATTATATTGTTGTAGTTAACTCATTGACTGCCAGCCGTTTTTGATGATTTCACTGATTCTCAAGACCCACAGAATATTATGTGCTATGACTATGTGAAATATGAAACCAGATTCTGAAAGACTGAATTTCCTGCTTTCATCAGCAAAAATAAGTTTGTTTCTTGCTATTTTTGTTGTCCTGTAATCCCCAGTCAAATAGAGGGTCTCAGACAAAAACGTCAATGACAGTCAATTAAAGGGGCAACACAACACATTGAGAGCTGGGGGATAGAAAATTCTAATCAGAGTCATTGATGATGTCATTATAGTTTGAAAAAAGAAAACACATTTAATTGACAATAAATGGCTTCTCACAACCACTGACTATTTGTTATCTTTGAATTATGGCCAAAAAAGCCAACATTTCTGCTTGGGTGTGCAGACATTCAACAGTGTTATGTTTTTTTAACCATGTTTCAACATTCTTTTCTCATCAAAAAACATTTTTACAGATGTTTTTTATCCACCCAAGCAGATATCATGAACCCCTGCCCCAACTTCAATACAGTGTGACAAATTCAGACACAGAACAGTTGTCTTCCTTTTTTCCAACTTAAAGTACATTATTGTCAATGGTGCACTTTGAAATACACCGCGCCATGTTGGATTGAATGAAAATATGAAGTAAAGGCAATTCCGACTTCTGACAATACACAGTCATCTCTTACTTCATTTTTTATGTTTATCCATCTTTTGTGCTGGTGAAGGTATGCCACATTCTAAAGCATGAAATGTCATGTTAAATGTTCTCAAAGTCATGTTTAAGGTCCAAAATTAACACAAATTTTGCATAATATTAGTTATATGTTTGTTATATAGTTTAAAACAGCCATCTAACTGACCTAAATACACGGTTATAGTTTCCACAGACTCGTGTTGTTTATAAATTTCAACTAACATCATTAACAGAATTTTAATCTTCTCTTTTTATCACCGATAAAAAGAGCCAAGGCTGAAGTAACATTCATTGAAGCAACATTTTTCATGTCAATCTAAAAGTAACTAAATGCAATCTGGTCGAAATAAACCCCCACCTTACTTTGCTTTAAGGTGAGTTTGCAGTACAGAAGCATCACTGTGAAAGTCCAAACTAAAAGCAGTTAATTCAAGGCATTTCTCAAAACTCGCTTAATAGCAGCAAATACACCAGAATGTGTTCAGAAAGAAATGAGAAAAGACACTACAGTACGATATCGCTCTTTGTCGGACAGAGTGATTATGAAAGAAATCATGCCTCAGATTCAAACCATTACTTCTATTCTGTCCAAATTCAACTGTGAGTATTGGATAGACCTAATTGGTACAAGTAAATGTTTTATTTATTAAAGTGAATGTCCCTCACTTTTCAAATCGAGAAGAGAGAGTAAAACCTTTTGAAGACAAGCCCATGCTAACCCTCAAAGCGTCCTGATTGATCAAAACAAATTCAAACTCGTGAAGCCCTCATCATTGGTTTAACTATTCTCCTCCAACAAATCTTATGGATCAAAGTTCTGCCAAGAGACTATTTTAATTATATTATAGTTGAAAAAACCTGTACATAATAGTACAGTGCCTCATGGTCAGAAATATTCATTATTTTAATAATGATTGCTGACATCACCTTTAAAAGCCCAAATATATCAAAGGAGTTGATAGGAAATGATTGAAATATGATTGAATGTATTAGTGTGTCTAATGTTATGAGCCTAACCCACGTCAAAGTCATTTTTAAACCAAATTTGACATGAATCCTATTACTATTCTTCTCATTTCTCTCTGAACACTCTCATAAGTGTAGTGTGTCCTTATTTGCCTACTTTATGAGCTTGTTTGCCCGTGTCTGAATGGTGACCCTGCGCGGAGGTGGCTCTTCAATATTCCTGTTGACTATCATGTCCTGCAGCTGGAGAGCACCGCCTCCGATGAAGCAGAAAGCGGGGCAGACCGGGGCAGAGCAGTCCACAGGCCCGGTCCAGAGCACCCGCAGGGAGTGGGCGTCGCAGAAGGTCACCCGCCCTTTGTCACAGTCCAGACAGACGCCCAGGCGCGGGGGCAGAGGAGCAGTGAGGGCGTGGGACAGGGAGCCATGGCCGCTGCTGCTGTGGGAGAACACTGCCCCTTGGCTGTGGCTCTGAGTCTGAGGCAACAGGACCTTCCCCATGCCCATGGTCAGGAAGCAGAAGGGTGGGCTGTCCTGAGAGTCCTCTGCACCACTGTCATGGCCGCTGTCCGGGTCACAGCTAAGAATGTGCATGAAGAACACATTAAACCAATACATCACAGAGAAGGCCACACCGCTTTTTTTCCTTCACAATTTTGAGTGTTCTCCAAATACTTGATGATGGAATATTGGCAGAAGGGATAATACTTCGTTATTGCCATATCAACACACTGGGCCAGAGTGTGATGGACTGAGTATGTGTTTGCAATGTTATGTAATGTAAAATGTATTTGTCTTTGTTGCTTTGTGTGGATCCAATTAAGAATAATCATTGGGTTTAGACCGTTGTGTTAGTTTCACTGATAATGTGTTGCTGCAATAGTCCTTCATAACACTAGTTGTAGCAATAGGCTAGATGCTGGATCCCCATTAACGCACAGCAACATGTAATGGGGATCCAGAATGAATAAATAATGTCTTCATGATGATAAAACTCTCCACTTGGCACAGCACAACCGCCTCTGCTGGTTTGTGGGTCGACTGTAACTATTAACAGCTCATGTCAACAACCCTATTTGCACTGCTAGTTTTACACTCTTGTTCAACATCTGTTCCTATTGTAAATATCATAATAATCAATACTATTATTATTTTTTATGTTGTACAATATTGTCTGTAGGTAAATAAAGAAAAGGTTCAGATTGGAAAACTGAACAAACTCTTGAATCCTCCCAATACTGCATACCCTTCCCTGTGCCCTCCGTGTCAACCTTCACTGGCTGAACTTTCCACTAGGCTTCAACTTGTGCAGAGACCCGCCTCCTCCCCTTCACTTCAAGCGTAGGACATCACTACTATTCTATCTATCTATATATCTATGGCCTGTCTGTCTGTGGGAGCAGATCCCTCTCTCAATGTTGGCCCCCTCGAGGTTTCTGACTTTTTTTGTTTTTGAGTTGTTCCTTGCCGACAAAGGAGAGTCTAAGGACAGTAGTGATGATCCAGGACATTTATGGACATTTATGAACATTTATGGACATTTATGGTCATTAATTGACATTTATGGACATTGGTCATAACCCCTACCGAAGTGGCTACCCTCCTAATGGCCCCTTATTGCATTTCCTGTATTCAAACTGATTGATTCTCTGTTCTGTTGTTGGTGAATCAACAACTTTGTAAATTCCTCCAAGGCGAATGCTGTTGTGATTTACGGGTGTACAAAAATAAATGTAATTGAATATTCAGCACCATCTCCATTCAATTTTCATGTACCAAAATGCAATCAAAATCATTAGTTCCATATTATTAGTTCCACACTACTAAAATACTTCATACAAACCTCACAATAGGCACCTATCAATAAACAGTGTATGGGTTTTTACAGAAATAAAAGGTTCCATTCATTTTGATTTTCATCCTTGAACATCCAAGGAGTCATTACTATTTTCAAACAAAAGAATACAACTGATAAGGCGTCCAGTAAAATAAACAAGGTTAATCTATAGTTACCGAGGGCTGGCGATGTCAGGAGGAAGGTGAAACCACTCCTGCAGTTTGGTCTCCTGCCCGACCCCCACCTGTGCCACACAACAGTCCTCAGTCATGTTCAAAAGCCTCGTCTGCTCTGACCTCTCTCAGACCTCACTCTGACCTCACTCTGACCTCACTCAATAATAATAACAATAATGCATCAGTTTTATATAGCGGTTTTTTTGACACTCAAAGACGCTTTACATGTCATTATTCTTTCACTCCATACACGGTGGTGATAAACTACTACTGTAGCCACAGCTGCCCTGGGGCACACTGACAGAAGCGAGGCAACTAGTACCAACCATTCACACACACCCCAGACTCATTCTAGGCAATGGGGGTAAAGTGTCTTGCCTAAGGACACAACGGCAATTTGGCACTTTACAGCCGCAGCCGCCCCAATGTGGCTGGTGTTCCCAGAGGTTAAGTGTCTTGCCAAGGACACAACGACAGCAGACAGTGGGAGTCGATGGTGAAAGTCGCCCATGACCCTCTGGCTCAAAGGTCAATGCTCTACCAACTGAGCTACTGTCGCCTCACTCAGACCTCACTCAGACCTCACTCAGACCTCACTCAGACCTCACTCAGACCTCACTCAGACCTCACTCTGACCTCACTCAGACCTCACTCAGACCTCACTCAGACCTCACTCAGACCTCACTCAGACCTCACTCAGACCTCACTCAGTTCTCACTCAGACCTGACTCAGACCTCACTCAGACCTGACTCAGACCTCACTCAGACCTGACTCAGACCTCACTCAGACCTCACTCAGACCTCACTCAGACCTCACTCTGACCTCACTCTGACCTCACTCAGACCTCACTCAGACCTCACTCAGTTCTCACTCAGACCTCACTCACCTTCACCAGGTATGAGCCCGGCTCCACTGAGCATGCCCAGTAGTGTCGTCCCTGAGTCACGGACAGGTCGCCCACCAGCAGGTCGGAGGAGAGCAGACAGGACGTGAGCGTGTGGTCTGCGGCCTGCAGCAGAGACATCCCTGGAACACTCCGCGCGTAAGTCAAGCCTTTACCCAGAGCCAAGCGGTCAGCGTGGAGGCCCCAGCGTGAGTCCAGGGAGAAACTGAGCACTGGACATCCCACAGAACACACAGCGGCAAAGTAATGGTTATACGTACACCCAGGCATACAATTGTACCTTTTACAAAGTGTTCTATAGCATCATTGTACTGAAATATACATATCATTTTCTTAGATCTTCAAAAGTGTCTGTATAAGTATTATTACAGTATTGTTTGTGAGAACATTGCGTAACAGTCTTGAATGAATTTTGCTTTATGAATAAAAGTCCAACTAGTGAACCTTGATACGAGGATATATCTTTGGAGCCACAACAAATGATTTTCAACAGAAATGAATGCCTTTGATTCTGCACTTCTATACACTCCCTTTGAAAGCCCCATAACACACCTCGTTTTTTAATGCATCACAACTACACACACCCACTAACAAAAAAGTAACTGTCCTCACAACTGTTACAAACAACAATAACTAAAATACCTTTGTGATCATATCCAGCAATAACTGACTTTCTTAATTCCATTATCTGTGTGAATCTTATATAAACGTTGATATGCATTGTTTCTGAATAATGCCGTTTGTCACTTTTGTTCTTGATGCTTGTGAAAAAAAAGAAATATGCTGTGAAATCTTTAAATGCATTCATTCATTTGAGAAAACGTTTTTTAAAAATCTGCACCCTGGCAATAGTAGTATTATTTCTCATACAAACCCAAATACCGGAAATGTAATAAATCCTGAATTAGTAGTTTTGAGCATTATACATGTTATTTATATGACACTTTTCCATATACTCAAAACATACAGAGTAGTTTTAATAGTGATTATTCTTCCTCTGATCCTCCAGAAACCCTAAACCTATTGTTAATGTAAACTCTGTACTAAAACATTTACTTCCATAAGGAAAAACGCTTTCTGATAAGACAAACATAAAAAGAAGAATGTTTTGCAGACTCACCTGCAGCATTGTATGAAGAGTGCATTTGACTGAGACAGAGATGAAGAATGTTTAGACAAAATGGAAATGCAGAGAGTGAAAGAAATCATTAAAACAATGAAAGAATCAATAAAGCAAAACGTAGATGATGGTGAGCTATAAGTTTGACAGAATGAAGAATAAAGCAGTAACCTGACATCCAATGGCCCTAAATGTTGTATTTGCATCTGAAAATCTCAATTTGTTTACAGTGAATGCGCTTGATGTAAATCCCATAATACTTTGCAGTGTGATCTCACAATCCATGGCATATTCATCACTTCGTCAGATCCCAGTCAATATTGAAAACATGCATCTGACCCCACTTCTACTGTCGTAAGGGGACATACCTAGGTATGTAGCTGGGTTATCTAATTTTCAAACAACATTTTTCTTTATTATGTGATAAAATATTCTCACTGTTTTTACTTGCCCTCAAAACAGTTTTCAGAGAAATATATTTTTGTCCTCTGTCAGATCTTTGGGTTCAATTTCTTGCACAGAAAAGTAAAAAAGAGAGGACCACCCTCACTCAGCCAATCAACCTCAAGGTCAGACCTTTTGTCCTAGTGACTCCTAGGACAAAAGGTTTTCTAATAAGACAACATTTTATTGGTTGTCCGATTTGGTCTTAAAATGTTACTTGTACAATACACTTTCTGGAGGGGCAAACAAAACAAATTATTTATGAAAAAATAAAGAACCCCAGCTTGAAATATTATTATTCAATATATACTTAGATCTGCTGTGACTTGCACTACTAGCACCACAGTGAATGGGTATTAACAGGAAAATACACTAAATTGTCAAGCCTTATATAGTAACAACACAAGATTTAAGATGCTGTTAACGTTTACAGAGGTTTACATACAACTACGGTATATATTACTTGCACTAGAATATAGAATATAGACTGTACAGTATTTTATACTTGCTCCTTATTATGCTAAAGTCAGCGTTTTTTGCATTTAACTTCTTCATAAGTTGTATATTTTAGACTTCCTTCCTTATTACCGTATGCTAAAGATAGAGATTGAATACTGCTTCTTTTTATGCTAGAGTTAGAGAGTTTATTTTATTTTATTTGAGTATAGAGTTATTATTCATTTAGCCTATGCTTTGTGCTCCTTTTCCCTCCTCACTGTAACTTGTGATGCAACACTGACATTTCCCCACTGTGGGTAAAAGCTATCTTAATGTTAATCTAAATCTACAGGATACATCCATATCCAGTCATAGATGTGTCTCACCAGGAGCAGGCGGCGTGTGCAGGTAGACCTCCTCACTGAACTCTCCAAAGCCGGCCTTGTTGCAGCCTCTGACCCGGAGCACATACACACTGTCCATCTGCGGCCGCTCAATCACGGCTGAGGTGCCTCGGACTTCGTCCAGGCGTTGCCATGACACTGCAGTGTTTGGAGACTGGGTGCCCCCCCACGTGGCTCCGGTGGCCCCCGAGCGCCGTTGGTATTCCACAGAGAAATGCCACGCGGCGGCCGAGTCCTGGGGCAGGCGCCAGCACACGAACAGCTGGTCGTAGGCTAACGTCTTCTGGGTGTCGATGACCGGGGCCAGGGGGGCTGCAGATGGACCGCGGAGTGAAAAGAGCGTTATTCATCTTCAAAACAAAAGTCTCAAGCAAATTAATAAAAAGAATTAGGGATAGTATTTTACTTTTTAGATGGCAGATAAATGCAAAAGCCAAATCTGTGTTAGTGCTATTTGTTTATTCAGCCTTTATCAATTCAACTATTATTAAATATCTATTAAATCTCTTTTTTGAGCTTTTAATGTCAAAAACAGACCTGGAGTTGTTTTTAGATCCATCCACACTAACGTCAGGAACTTGAACACAAAAAAATAACTCCACCCTATCTATCTAAAAGCCTTCTGTCTAAAACCTGTAATATGACGTAATTGTACCACTCTAGCATCACTAGTTTTGGCCTTTTCTCTGGTTAAATTACTTTGCAATTTCATGGCTGTTTATGCAGCTGGCTATTTTTGAATTAGATTAATATAAAAAGTGTTTACCCTTGAGAGTTGTTTCATCCTATATATTTTCTATTTACAATAATTTTTCACATTCTAAAACATGAAATTTATACTATAATTACCGGTAGCTCAAATTTTAAATGATAAAGCAACGACACCAACCCTGTATGAAGTTCAAACTGCTGATGAGCTTGACTTCTCTGGACGCATCGAGGTGAAAGTGTTTGAAGGAGGGATCTGCTGAGAGGGTGAAACTCTGCAGGTTCTGTACGGCTTTCACCAGTCTGCATGTACAAAAATGAAAAATAATTGTTTTAAATCCTTTCACACCCTCCTCAATGTAGAAGCTCGTGTGATGAAAGAAAGATAATGGTGTATAATTGAACACCAAATCCAAAAGAACACATCATAAAAAGCCGCAGCTCTGAGAAACGGAGACAAAAGCCTCATTCTTCTGTTTGACAAATGAAACTCCCATTATTATACAAATCATACACTTCCCCGGTCGTTTGGACACATCTCTTTGAACAGAAATAACAAAAGTAATTGTTTAACCTTTGACTTTGTTGTTTTGATTTTTACAAAGAGCCCTGTTTCTGTTCTGCTTCTAACACGTGTTATTAGTAGATTAGTAACAAGTGTTTTGATAATCGCTTGATCGAGCAATTTGCACGCAATCACGCAGATACAATATTCTATCTCAAGTTGACCCCAATAAAGCTGAAATAAAACCAGAGGACATTCTAATAGACTTTTCTTTTTCCAAAACAGACAATTTTATCACTAAAATTCCTATTGCTTCTGTTTTTTCCCCTGTCTGTGTTCAAAAGTACATGTGCAATAGATATGAATGTAATGAGAGAGTGGAGGAACGGTGATTAGATTAGTGTTCGACGTCTCGCTTCTGTCATCACCGTGTGCAGTGAATCAAAAAATACTGGCACTCCAAAAACACTGTAAAGGGCTTTGTGTGATCTTGGTCTGTGAAATGTGCTATATTACTTGTTATCACTTACTTATTCACTTAAAATTACATCCCTCAACAAATAAATGTGTTGAATTATGTGCAAAGAGCAGTTAATGATGAATCGATAACTAAACTAGTATTTGATCATCGAAAGAACTCACTAAGCTGCGAGGAATTGACTGAATGTTGAACGAGTGTGCATTTTTGGGTTTGACATAAAAAAAAAAAATGTGTAGACAGCAGATCAAACAAATCGACACAATGTGGTATTGTCAATCTTCAACACTGTCTCCCAAAAAGATTAAGTACAAGATTTAGTAATGTTGAATTTCTTTTGTTTCTACTTTTCTTCCAGCCCAAGTTTTGATAGCTAGAGAGTGTATTTGGCGCCGCACTTGCCGGTTATGTGTGACTCTTGCCGCCTGCACGAAGCTGGGTGGGTCTGTCTCTCGGAGCAGCTCCTGTGTGAAGGACACCAGACCTCCGCTCTCCTGCAGGCCACGCCGCTCTGACACCTGCCCAGATAAAGCCTCCCCTCTGCGGGCGCGGGTCCCCTCCAGCGCCTGGGCCATAGCCGCCTGCCGCTCACACACCGCGGCCCCCAGCTCCCGCACGCTCTGCACCAGGTACTGCATGGCCACGGCGCTGTTGGCCTGCACACACACACACACACACACACACACACACACACACACGCACGCATACAATATTTACTCTCACTCTAGTCATTCATGTAGAGTTGACAGATTACATAACTCACATAACATATTCATCTGTAAACATACCTCCATGTGTTTGATTGTGGTTTCAATCTGGGAAATCTGACTCTTTATTACGTCTTGGTTAGCTAAGATAAAGTTGGCCTGCTTGGTGACTCTGTCCTGAGAGAAAAAAAAGGGGCAAGTTAGACAATTCATTGCAGTGAGGTGAGACTGTTCATTTTGTCTTTTAACTTTTTAACTACAAATATTCTTATAAAAGACCATACTGGCAAGATTAGGGCTGTGTCAAAAATCTAGTATTTGTCTTTCAGTAAGAACCTCCGTAGTTATAAATACTCCTGCAGTATGTACCCCTTCAGAGCTTGGTAGGCCTCTGCTATGTGCGTCACTTTATAGGGGGCACTTACCTTCAGAGCTTGGTAGGCCTCTGCTATGGGCATCACTTTATAGGGGGCACTCACCTTCAGAGCTTGGTAGGCCTCTGCTATGGGCATCACTTTATAGGGGGCACTTACCTTCAGAGCTTGGTAGGCCTCTGCTATGGGCATCACTTTATAGGGGGCACTCACCTTCAGAGCTTGGTAGGCCTCTGCTATGGGCATCACTTTATAGGGGGCACTTACCTTCAGAGCTTGGTAGGCCTCTGCTATGGGCATCACTTTATAGGGGGCACTCACCTTCAGAGCTTGGTAGGCCTCTGCTATGGGCATCACTTTATAGGGGGCACTTACCTTCAGAGCTTGGTAGGCCTCTGCTATGGGCATCACTTTATAGGGGGCACTTACCTTCAGAGCTTGGTAGGCCTCTGCTATGGGCATCACTTTGTGCCCATGATGCACGCGTCGCAGTTTGCAGTACTGACACAGGAGCTTCTGACAGTGGCGACAATACCACTGCAGTTTCTCATGCTCGTGAACTGTGCATGTCAGAACCTACAGCAAAAGAACGGTTGAGGCTAAAACACTTTCAAATCCCAAACATAAATCACACTAACCTTTGGCCGAAAGTTATTTGTTGGTAAAATGTGCTCGTGCTGGGCTCGGGGAGTGCCCCAGGGGTGGTAGAGTTTAAAACATTCATTGCAGAAGTTGGCTTTGCAGTCAGCACAGCCCTTGGTGGCCTCCAAAGACTGTGGAGGCTTACAGAAGCCACACATGATGGCCACGCTCCCCAGGCTGATGGTGTGTCTGTACCTAGGGGCACACAGGAGCAGAGAGATAAAGAACAGACCTCCGCAGCCACAGCAGTGTGCTCATCAAAGTTAGCACGGCTTTAGCTCCAGACTTTAACTGTCTGACCTGAATACTTCCCCAGCAGCTGCCTTCAGAGAGCATCCTGAGCAGTAAAACTTCACATTTGTGTGACCTGTCCACACAGAGAGGCCTGAGGGCACCAGCTGCATGCACTATAGCCCCTATTACAGGATCACTATTTCTGTTTGTGTTTTACTGTTGTGGAATTGGAACAGACGACATTGTCAGACATTATCATTACTGTAGAAGCCTAAACACAGTTTTGCCTTTTTTGTTTACTTTTAAAATATTTCTATTTTTGTTTTGTATTATTATTTCTATTAGACTAGAATGTATTTCTGATATGATTCTGGCACCAGGCACAGCCCAGGTGCACTCCTGGACTGATTCTTGTTTTCTTGCCTTATTCCTACAAATGTCAATGTTAATTTTGTACTGTTTTATTTTGCATTTTTGCTCAGTACAAATTTCAATTTCAACTACCACTCATGGATATATTTTCAAGAGTCAACTAATGGCTTCACAGTTTTAAACCTACAATTACTCTTTTTTTAACAGAATGTTATTCTTCTGCCTCTCTCTGAAAAGTCAAACTTTAGTGTACTACTTTTTGTACTGCTAGCAAATGTTTATTTGTTTCCTGTATTGTTATAAGGTAGACCCAGGACTGCAACACAGTCTGTTAAGGCGTATATATGTATTTACAGTAATTTACTGCTTGAGCAATACCATAATGCTTTGTAATTTACCCTGAAGTAACATTCATGCACCTACTAATAGCATTAAAGGTATATTGGAGGATTTTCCTAAATTTTACGAAAGAACCGCCCTCTCCACTTTTTGAACAAAACTCTCTGGTCTTATATGACAAGCACATATCACCGGAATGATTGACAATTGGGAGGACCAATAGTCTTGATGATCCAAGTAAAAAATCCTCCTATATACAGTACCTTTAAATCTGATAATCCATAGCAGCAATTAAGCTGTATTTGTATTTATTTATTTATTCACAATGACAATGGGCCTGTGAACCAACACAGGTAAATCTATGTCGATATCACCAAAGAATGAAACATCTCAGACTACTATCTTAGAGATGACTGGCGTGATGATAAACACGCCAAAAGACAGAATGGTAAACTGTAAATCCCAGGGGTACGTGCTGCTGATGAGGAGATCCAGTATGTGTCTGTATCCTGTTAAGAGTGCCCTGTCCCTTGCTGTACATGTTGTTCCTCTGTGGACCAACTAGGGACATGGGACCTTCCACAGAGGCCTACAACTATGCACTTCAGGCCTCTCCTCCAGGACCCAGTACCAGGGAACATCTCTACCCAGGAGTTCTAAGATACAATTATAGATTCAAGGAGCATCTGGAGGTGTCTGAAAGCACCATTATTCAGACACTGACCAACTCTAAAAGGAGCTAGTGTCTTTGACCTCTGCTCTGAGAAAGCACAGGACCATCACCTGTAGAACTGTGCGGACATACTGTACAACTTGCATTATATTTGTACTATTCGGCCATTGAATTTCAGTCTGAAATGAAGATTTCTCAGAAAACAGGAGAAGTGCGTGCTACAAGGTCCAAAAATTGAAAGCGTAATTCAAATCAGGTGCTCTTCAGGATGAGGGATAACATTGCAAAACAAAGATACCCTTTACTGTTAGAAAGTAAAGACAGGGAAAATTAGAGAAAGGGTCCCTTTCTCTAATTAAAGGACTTTTTAATCTTTTAATCTTTACTATCTTTGTTTTGCAATGAAATGAAGATTAATTGAAAACTATCATGACCAGCATGTCCAGCTATCATGTCCAGCCAAGCCTCTTGTGGGGTACACTACAGACATGTCATATATCTGTGCAATAATGTGCAATAAGTATAGACTTGTGCTATCCTTAATATTCACTTATTCTATGTTGTGCGCTCCTCATTCTTACTGCTCTGTAACTTTGACTCAAGACTTAAATTTCACTCTTAATCTCTTAATCTTAAATCTTAACATGTTACATTCACAATGATTATTTCATGTTCTGGTATTGACGATTGCGTTACCGTTGCACAATGCGCTCCAGTGTGAGGTTGCGCAGGCACTCGGTCAGACCCCTCTCTCCCAGCTCCACCTCCTGCTGACAGGAAGGACACGGGAAGAGCATGGGCGGAGCAGTGTCCTTCCTCCGTCGCCCTGGATACGTCCCACACACTGGACCAGGACAAAAGAGAAGATGAAAGAGGGAGAGGAGAAAGTGCATTCTTCTAAATATATACTGGGTAAACACTACACTGTATAAATGTGGTCTACAACACGGCGACGAGCACTGATGCACCCGAGAAAACTTCATGTTCTTGTGTTGTCTCTCCATTTACTTGAATAAGTCATGAGATAGATGCATGAGCCCTGGTTGAACTCATGCTGACTCTGAATATAGCTGTCGTGGTTTTTGGGAAGCAGCAAAATCTCAGCACAATTAAGAATATAGAACTTTGCAGTGATCTTGCCTTTGAATTGAAACTGTTCTAGCTGATTTATTTCACAGTGTCAATTGTTTCCTGTTTTGTTTGTTTTATTTATGTACTTGTACTTGAGCACTTGTACTTGAGCACACTGGGGACTTTTGCACATGTATTCCAATGTGGTTTTACTGCAAATGGCAAATAAATGAATCTGAATCTGATGATGCAAGAGAAAAATAATCGATATATTTGTTTGTTTGTCTGAACAGTATCAAAGTCTTCTCAAAAAGTGTACATGTATGAGCAACCCCACTCCCAACTCTGTCAACAGAGAAAAAAACGCTTGAGGTTTTGATAGATGCAGGACTTCTCGCTTTGCTAACAGCTTCTTTCACGAGCTGTTATCAGTTTTAACAAAGCACTTTAATGATACTGAAACTGTTTGTGTTTCACAGTAACAATTGTTTCCTGCACTTTTTTAGCATGTTTTATTTTCACCTTTTTCGTGTGTGCACACTGGTGACTTATGTGAATGTATTTCAATGTGTTTCTTTGCGCAAATGGAAAATAAAATGAATTTGAATCTGAGATAGAAGTATTATTGTAACTCTAAATGATAATATTTCAGGATTTAATGTTTTGTGTTTCTATTGAAATGTCAGATTATTGCTGTAAATATTTAGTATACAAAATTTAGCAACTGTTACATTCTTGAATAGGATTTGATTTGAAGCATTTTCGACTGAATTTCTGCAGCAAATAAACAGCAGACAGATCCAATAATACCAAAAAAGTTCAACCCTCTACATAGTTCTTACTATGTTATAGTGAATATAAGAATAAATATTGAAAAGTAATTGTAAATATGATACATTTCGAGGCCCTAACTTTTGTTCCAGCAGTTATTTAACAATAAACAATAATAAACCTCTTAGACCAACCTGTTCTGAGGATATGCTCCAGGCGGTCTGGGGTCCTGGATGGGGGTCTGCGTGTTTGTCGAGGGGAGCGGGTGTTGGGAGTGGAGGCAGGAGACAAGGGTTCAGGGGGCAGGTCTGGAGGAGGGTATCCTCTCTGAACCAAGACCTCCGCAGCACAGAGCAGACACACGCTGTGCTGGCAGGGCAGAAGGATGGGCTGCTTCACAATCCCATCACACACGGGACAGTGTAGCTCCTTTTCCATGTTTCTCATACTGGACTGCAAGACAGACAGATAGGCTTGTTGAAACTAAATAGTCGCCAGAACAGATTCCCCCCACTTGAATATACCATAAAACCAAAGTATAATAAGATAGATAATTAGAAAATATGATTCCCAACTCTCCACCCCTCACTTGTGTCCTCTGCCTTCATGTAAACCATCCTAAATGTGTCCTCTACTGCATGTTACCAGAGCCCTGGCGGTGACCCACCCAGACATGGTGAGAAACAAGCAAACTCCACCCAGAACAGGCTGAGTCAACATGGGATGCTACCCACTCAGCCACTGGAGCAAGCTGTAGGCAGGACAGCCACAGATGTGTAAGTGTCTCTTCTTGTTAGCAGAAGGCACTGTGGCTGTTCAATCTCAGGTCAAAGTGGGCCAGGTGTCTGTTGTAACCATGGCCACATCCACCATCCTCCACTGAAGATTGACATATACAGTAGATAGAATAGATAGATAGATACATAGATAGATATAGATAGATAGATAGATTATAAATTGTAATCCTAAATTAATGATTATGATGAAGCCACTGGAGTAAGTAACATATGTAATCAATTTTAAAAGGTGGTTTAGTAAAATAGGCCTTTCTTTATTGGTGAGAATATGCTGCTGAGGCCTGGTCCGGCATCACAGCCCTGCCTCCCGTCACTATGACAACCTGCATCAGCACCACCATAGTACACCAAACCTAGACCGTACAATTATGTAAATATTTGCCTTACTGGTTTATATGATTGCCCACTCGATGGGAGTAAGATGTATTTCAAATATAGATACATTCCTGCCTTCTTGGGGCACGTTTCAGCGGACAGATGCGTGAAGCTTGGTTAATCAAACGATATCATAAAGAAGAAAGAAGCCCTACTCAGTCAGTCCCATTTTTCACCAGCAACAACAATGTAATAATGATAAAAAATTCTATACAAACCAGCGCGTCCATGATAGACGTAAAAGCTTGTAACTCTGCCTCGGCCATGCTTCAATCTGGTCGGCTATAATTCCCTCCACAGAATGTAATCACGGTGCTCTGTTCACAAGATTTGCTCTTTAAAAAAAAGAATGATGTGCATAAAGCATAAAAGGCTTTGAGGTGGGCTGTCCGGGGAGCGCCATTGCTTACGCGTCGACTTGTACCATTTGTTCATAACGCACTGGATGAAAATGGTCTAGCGTGGGATAGCTAGTTAAATCAATGCAATAAATAGCCCAAACCAACTCTAAAGCAAATATTTTAGAATAAAACATGGGCTTTCTTTATCAAACAAAATGTAAAAATGCAGGGTCGGCAGAATATATAGTATGCATACGCGGCACAATTAGACACAAATTGTTATTATTTCAGAGGTCATTCACAAATTTAACCACGCGAGGGCGGTAGAGATACATGGTCCGTCCTTGTATTTGTCCGTAAGCGGAACTTCTATATTCGATCACATGTTTCTGACCGGTTCGTATTCAGTAAAACACCACCCACGCCGTTGTTGTAGCAACGGGGACGCAATGGCGCTTTGATGGTCTGTCTATTTTGCCATTAAAACCTCTTTCGATTGAGCTTTACTTTGGAAAATTATGAATGCAACGACAAATACGACTTTTATTCCTCGGGTCGTGTTTCAACTTTGAAATTTGAAGCCTGGAATCTTTATAATTATAATGTTAAATCATGTCGGCTTTGAATAGCCTTGTCCCTGCTCGCTTCCTCACCATCATAGCTCATCTGGTCATTGTCATTACTATATTTTGGTCACGGGTAAGTCATGTTTGATAGCAGCTATGCATGACCATTTTCAGTAGTAAGGTCTGTGAACGATCTTACAAAGTTTGTGCGTAAAATTACTGTTTTTAGTTTTGGATCCAGAAAACTAGTGATGATGTTACTGATGTTTTATCTACAGGAACATAATGTAAAAGCGTGTCTGCCTTTGGAGTACACCCAGGAACAATATGATGAGGAGGACAAGAGGTGAGAAGAACAATGTGCAGATGAATAAATCTTAGTCTGGCCTAAGCCGTCCGTACACTCTAAATCTTGCCTTGTGAATTTGTTTCTGACTGCAATCCAACTGTAAAATTATATATTGCAGAGAGGCCTGAGTCTCTCCTTTAGTTTAGACCACTGCACGGTTTTACAATAATATAAAACGATTCATGTCAAAAGGCCTGGCTGGTCAGACATTGGTCCACATCTGTCGCATGTGCATGTGTTTTCTCTTGCAGATTGGTGGTGGGGCTGGGGGTCACACTCGGCCTGTTTGCCATAGAGTTGGCTGGATTCTTCTCAGGAGTCTCCATGTTCAACTCCAGCCAGGGGCTCTTATGTATCCTTACCATCAAACAGATGTTTAGTTTTGTGAAGGACTGTGTTTCTTTCCATGACTCTGAGCATTCATAGCGATTGGAGTTCATGCCAGTGCCTCCGTAGCTCTTCTTTTCTATCTGTTTGAGCAGTGGGAGTGTAGCGTCTACTGGTGGATCCTTGCTATTTGCAGGTTGGTGAATAAATGGTGCAAAGTGTTTTCCTCTGAAATTGCTATTTTTCCTGACAATTCTATCAGCCCTGGCATTGCACTGCAGTGCGTCTGTCTCCTTGTCATTTTTTGTATTTGAAAAGTGGGAGTGTTGGACATACTGGGTTATATTTGCCAGCTGCAGGTGTGTTTTGAAGTGCTTATTTCTGGAATTACATATTAGGGTGAAATATTACTGTTGATAAAATACTATTGTCAATTGAGTGAATGTTAAGTTTGACATTTCAACTTTTTCATGTGTGTTTTTCAGTGTCCTTCCAGCCTGTGTGGAGATCGCATTGTTTATTACAGTGTTTGGATTTAAGAAAAAGGCTTCATAGGACAAACTCTCAACCTATTTTGAGCACTGGATATTATTCTATATAATATGCCAAAAGAATTTCTCTTCAAGACATACATTTGTATTTTTACTTAATTGCCATGTTGTAGGAAAATAAATGTATTTTGTAAAATAAATAATTGTTTCTTAAATAAATTGCTCAATACGTTCTGTCGTAGTCTGTAAAACAAAGTACTTATAGAATAAAGCATTGTTACAAAGCGTAACAACAACACATAAGTGTCAAAAGATTATTCATACATCTTTTCTGCATTCACCATTTAAATAGCTTGACTAAACCGATTAATATTGACAATTGTTGCTCGTATCAATAGCAGGTGGTTGCTTTCAGTCATGAAAACCTAATTCAGATATGTAGCTTAGTAGTTAATTTAAAAAATCGATCCCTGGATAAATTAGATCAGATGACTCCGCCCCCTGGTGCCACCACTTTTCTGCTCCGTGTTGAGTGGTTCCGTCCCGTCAGTTCCTGAAGCCGGTGCAGCCTTTTTTAGACTCAAACTTAATCAATCTTATACATCATTCTGTCTGTTTTGGTGCATAGATATGGGTATGTATAACATTTATTAATCTGCCTGTAATCTACTTGTATAAATTGAACGCGTCTCTCGTGTGTATGCCCGCGAAACAAATCTCATTATTTTTAGACTATAACACTATAACTATATAATCTATTATACATAGCTTTTTGTTGAATCACAATTAATGCATGTAATAATGTTTAATTTGCTCTGACGGTGATACCGCCTGTTAAAATTCTGAAGCATTCTGTTATGTGAGTTGTTCCTGTACTGACGTGGCCTTCTGTTCAGTGCAACACCACTGCACTGGATCACATTCCAGCTCTATGTAGAAGCTGAAACAAACCCAATACTTCTCTTTGGCTTTGTTTTGCATCTGTCTGTCCAAGGCTTCATATATGTGCATTAGCTTCGTGTGATTCCTCGTATAAAATCTGTTAACTAATGCTCTTTGTAGTGTTGTGTAAAGTTTTGGTCGTTAAGATGAATAATAATTTATCTCAATGAATGAAAACGCAATTTTGACGTAATGACTTTAATGGAGTACGGATACAAGTGCATTTCTCATAAAATAAAATGTCCCATGTCTTCTCTATGTCTCGTCTGCAGCTGTGAACACGGGCACTTCCCTGGTGCTGTCCAGTCTGCTGTGTGTGCTGGTGTTTGCTGGGATGCAGATGTTCAGTAAACAGCTGGGCTCCACAGAGTGGCTCACAATTCTGGGAGGGTTCCTCGGTTCAGTCCTCTTCATCTGCTCCCTCACTGTATCCTTATCTGTTGTTGAGGAATCAACAATCAATCAACAAAGTCCTCAGAGACAACTGCTGCTGTGATTTAGGGCTATACACAAATACATTGAATTTAATTCTCCATAAATAAGATATAATGGAGCCAATTATTAATTAATATTGGGGGTCTAAAAGATTGGGGGGGGAAATAATACTAACATAAAATTGTCCACCCAAGTACTTTCAAAATCATTCTTAGACATGTTGTCCAAACTTGAATTTCTCAGCTATTGTGAATTACCACAAAGTTTGTGATGTTTCTGTTCACAATAACAGTTCATTTTCATATAAATATTTTGTGTACATGATGCTCTGATAATTGAAACTATTGAAGGTCATGATATTTCCTCAACCTTATTACCAGGCATTTAATAACCTTGAAAATCTTTTCTTTGGAAAAGGATTTCAAGCCAAAATCTTTCCAGAGAGTAAGTAAAGCCCATTAATGTCAATAAGTGAATACACGCGCTGACATTTTCATTTTTATTTTCCTCTAGTTTTGGTGTGTTTGTGTCTCTCCCTGTTTGCCTCTGGTCTGGTTCACCGCGTTTGTGTTACTACTTGGTAAGTGTTACACATTGAACACTAAACATGGGTTTCATGTGCTCCAAGGATTTACTGTATTAGACATATTATGAACATAAACTATACAACTGTAATGACGAGATACTTTTAATCTTATTAGGTTTCAAACTATCACTCAATCAGTTCATTACAAGCCTGTCAATCTCACGCTCCATTGTGAACAAGATTCTTGAACTCCACAAAGGGCTAGGGATTGTTCCAGTGGAGAAGATGGATATTTAAATCTGGACAGCAACAGTCAAATGTTGTACCTCTTCTGAAAATGAGAAAGCATTTTTATATTTGTAAACTTTAGTAGGTTTGCGCTAAACTAAATGTAATATTCGCTGATGTCAAAACCAAAAGTGATATTTGGGTAAATCAAAACATGGTTTAAAAGTCTCCAACAGGACACAGTTTAAAAAAAAATTGACTGGATATCTTTCAAATGGAAAATGAATTTATTTTTCCTCTTTCCAGCCTGCTGTTTTCCCTGTTTGCGCTGTACTACATCAACAAAGTGTCTGCGGCCCTGTACCAAGCAGCTGCCCCCACGATGATACCGGCTAAAGCTGCGAGCAAGAGCAAGAGGAAGAACTGATTGTCTGCCTTTGTCACTGTGTTATGTACCATTACTTCATCACACATCAGTCATGATTCATCTGTCCACATTCCTTCTGTGTCATGTAAACTGAAATTTGATTTCAAATCGTCATTAAGGTTTGTTTTGGCCAAAATATTTTTTTTAATAAACGTAAGAAAAAAAAGTCTTTTATTTTGCTCATAGACCTGTACAAGGACAAGAGAAAGAGTGAGTTCTATTTCTGTGAAAATTGCAGCGAGTTCAATTCTGACAGATAATAGGAAAAAACATCCGTCTCCAATCCTATTCGGGCATTCTTCTACAAATTAAAAAAATGTTAGTCCTTCTAAACACTGAACTCTTTTGTATTGTTTGCAGAATAAATCTATGTTTCTGTTTATATACAGGTACTTAATTCCAATGACAATAAACATGTCTATTACTCTTAACTGAAATATTACTTTGGTAGAGTTACCTTGGTTATTAAATGTAAAAGCTAATTACTCAAGTTTAAATCATTGCCACTTTTTTGGGTCCATATACAGTATGACCTGAAATGATCCACCGTATAGCAAAAACTATGTCTACCGGTACATGGGAACCAACTGTATGACATCAAGAGGATAATTTGGAGGATAAAACAGTTTGACCTGAGTTTGACACATTATGATATCCATGTACTGTCACACATTTTCAAGAGCAAGATAAATATCTTTAAGCAATTAAGCAAATCATTTGAATTTCATGTCATGGATGTGAAAGGGTGCATCACACTTGGTCCTATCGTTTTGAAGATAAGATGTTTTTATTATTAGTTTTCAGACCATTTAAAACAAAACTTAAATCTTCCATATCAATCAAAAATCCAACTTTATTTATGGAGCCCTTTACAACACGCAGGTGACAAATTCAATTGTCAATTCAATTCAATGCATTCTTGTTTTGCCCTAAATCGCAACAATAGTGATCTCAGAGGACTTAAGACCGCTGAAAATGGATGGATGGATGGTATTGGTCCATAGGCCAATGACCAAAGTGCTTTACAATAGAATCACGTACAATTGAAACATACATGCAATTAAACAGTTAAAAAGCATTCACAAAGCATTAAAAAAGTGTCACCATGCTAATGAGTGTTTTATGAACTGAGACCACTTGACTTCTTAGTGTGAAAGTGTTGTTGAATTGGTGGGTCTATCTCTTCCTTACACGTATCAGTCTACACATATGTCTCCACTCATCTCTCAGCAGTCTGTTAGTTTAGTTAGGTGTGGATGGTAGTGAAGGATGGGGGTGACGACACACACCTTTTACTCTCTTTTCTTTGCATTCCATGGTATTTAGCTGATATCAAGATGATCTGCAACGTTAAGTCATTTTCAACACTATAACCAACAACTTTTTCCACAACTTTTGTAAAATAGAGAATAGTGTGGCTTTGTTTTATGTGGCGAACGTGGTATTTGCACTTGGCTTGATCGACATCCTGCTCCCTCCTCTCACCCTTCCTTCTCTCTCCCCTTGCACTGGGCGTGTGTCTGCTATAAAACCTAGGAAAAAAAGTTCCCAGAGCCCCCTTCACTGGACTTCTTCTCTTCTTCAACAAGTTTCCTGAGATCTGCTCCCATATCTGTAAGTTTTAAGTTCGCTTTCATTTCAAAACCATATGATTGCTTCTCTTACAATTGTTTGCTATTTGCTTTACCATGGTTACCACAATGGCTTTGGAACATTTTTGGTGCATTACACATAGTTTCCTCTACATGCATGGTCTACGCTGCATGCCTGGTCAAGTTTCCTTCAGTCAGACAAGCTTATAGCATTTATACCTTGGTAGAAAAGTACATTTTTGTAAAGTTGCTACAACAAGAGTACATTTGACAAGAGTTTATCAAGCCTCATCTCAACAACTACGTATGCATGGCAAGAATTTGAGAGAGGCTCAAGCCGCCACCCACACCCACACCCACAGATAACGTGTAACTAAATTATGACCATTTACCAAGTTGTGTGTTCTTTTTCCAGTTACAATGTCTACTGAACTGGAGAAATGCATGGAGTCACTTATTGACATATTCCATCGCTATGCAAAGGAAGATGAAGGCAATCTGAGCAAAAAAGAGTTCAAAAAACTTATTGAGGCAGAGCTCCCAAATTTCCTGCAAGTAAGTGATTCATATAATGTCACAATACCTCAGTTAAATTGTGTTTCATCTTGCTGTTCTTTTTTTTTTAGGCTCAGCAAAACCCAAACCTGGTCAACGAAATGATGAAAGATCTGGACCAAAATAAAGATCACAAGTTAGACTTTCAAGAATTCCTCTCACTGGTCAATGGTATTTCAATGGCATGTGAAAAATGTTATAAAAAGCACCATCCTGCGAAGAAATAAGATGCATAAATGAACTTTGACTTACGTGTAATGAATAAAATGAGCAAACAACAAATCGTACTGTTATTGTTATTATTTTCATTTTCTTTCCAGATCTTGATGTGCTGAGTTGACATCTGTTGCTGATTGTGGAATAATAAATCTTGAGTTTTGCATATGACATCAAATATAAACCAGAAGCAGACCAACTATGTGCATCAGCAAATGCCAAAGTACATCTTTTTTTTTAGATTGCATAACTTCTACATTAATAATACCACAGCTTGGACCTATCAGTTAAACATGCATCATGAGGAAGGCCCACCCTAACCCAGCTAAACTCTTCAGGTAGTTTTTACTATTATTGGTGCTTACTATTTCTTTATACAGAAAAAAACAAGGTCCACAATTAAAATACAGAACAAGAAAACAGACATAGACCTACATGTAAAGACAAGACTCAAAATATATTATTAAAGAGAGATTTATCAATGTTTTCATAAAGGAGACTGATACCGTGCAGCACAAGACCACGCAAAGAGTCAAATTTAAAATACAAAGTTCTAACGTGTGCCTGAAGGCTATTGACCTGAACCTGCAGAACCTGCAGACTGATCTGATGAGACAGATGGAATAGATGGTGCAGCAGATGTCTTCTGGAGTCTGGACACTGGCCGTGGGGAAGAGGGCATGAGATAAGGAGGAGGGCACATAACAAGGGAGGTCCAGGGTTCACGGTGGCGGTGGCGGTGCATGGCTCAAACTAAAGTCAATAGGCAGAATGGTTTAAGCGGATTGTTTTTGCAGAGGAGGGAAAGAATCAGAGGCTGGAGATGATGATTGAGAGATGGCATTAATGAAGGAGTTACATTTGACATCAGGGTGTCTCAGATCTCTTGCTTCACTGCTTTTTAAACGGTTGTATGTGTATAGCCCCATTAATTTATTTTCTGTAAGTTCCATGGTGATATCCAAGCACAACACATGAGTTACATTTTTTCCATAATTAGTTCCAAGCCAGTGACCTAAAAAGTGACCTAAAAATATATTTATAAATTTATAATCTGTATTCCCTCATATAAGATAATACTTTTTTGTTTTGAATATAATCATATTTATTCATACATTGAACAGGAGCATGATGTCCAAAAGGTTGATGCTGTTTTTGTTAAGTGTTTGGGGTCCCATGGTGAAAATCAGAAAGCAGACTAAGCCTCACTAAACTACAACCGATACGATGTTATAACATATCCATGACTACAACACGCACAGATAAACAGAAACTGTGTGTTTAAGCGTTTTAGAACAGACATTTGTGGAATATAAACATTAGTGTGAGTCTGAGCATGCTGGCTTGATCCTGACATTTTTGGACAGGTATGTGAGGTTCTGAGAAAAATCACTAGATGGCGCCACCACCATAAAGAGTTCTTCAGATCAAGATAATTGACCAGGTGAATACATTTGGGGCCGGAGGTACCAGAGATTAACCATTGGTTGTTGTTGTTGTTATAGGGGTCTCCTTTATGGAAAAAACTGATATTATTTCTTTTATATATCTGTTAGCAGTCATTTTTTCACTTAATTTATGAAATGTTGTGTTGAAAGTTCAGTCGTTCTTTTCTTTACTAACACAGTCTGAAAAAGTGAAGCATTTTCATAGAGCTTCTGCAACATGCACCTTTTCAAATACAGCACCAAAACCATAGTGCTATCTCCAGCCCCCAAACAGTGACATTTTAGCCAAACATTAATAAACAATTTCATTCATTATCACCTGTCGGTCCTCAGTTAAAAGAAAAACTCCATAAGATCTTTAACTAAAATGTAAGTCATGCTTTTACCCTCTGGCCTGAATATTCTGTCACCACTTTGTTATTTCTGTTTGCTTCTCACAAAGTCTGTTGCCTATGATTGCTGTTTCCAATGCACCAGCCTAACCCAGACATGCATGTGGAAAGGTGAGGCAACACACAGCAAGAATGTTATTTACAGCAATCAAATCACCTGCAATCGTACACAAAAAGATTCTTTGCTCGGGTGTTGGATATGATTTAAAGCAGACTGATCCATTGTGACTCCACTGAGGCCAGGTTTAAAACAAGTGTGACAGGTTACATGTTTACTCAATGATGACTTTAGTTTGTTGGACACAACCCTTGGTAAATAGGTTTAGAGACAGCAGATTTGTTTTTGACTATTTTTTAAAAGAAATTCTTTGATGTGAAGTCATACAATTCAAACATAATGTATTAATATAAAGAGTTGTCTGAGAGTTTAAAGTTTCATTCAGCAAGATAAAGGGGTTGCCTTAAATTTCAACAAATTCCATTGAGTAAATGAGACGAGCTTTGGCCATGTTTACTTTCTAGTTGCTGTGGTAACTCCTTCTAGTATGTCATAACCTGCAGCCCATGTACAATCAGGACGTAACATTATAAACTTCACTAAACTTGAAAAATAGGAAAAACTACCCTAGAACTACCCTCAAAATGTAAACATATCTTAACCATATTTTTGACCTGTCCTTTACTTGCTTTTAACTGGATATTAAGCGTTGCTATGCACTTACATAATTGTCTTTACTCCTGTCCTGTCTGTAATGTAAGTATTCAAGATGTTATTTTTCACCTCTGCTCCCCTGGACCTTTGGACAAAACACTGGCCTCTCCCTTTATTGCTGCATCCCCTGCAAAGAGAATCTGATAGTGTCCAATAAGCGAAAGTGTCCAATTTGAAAGACTTAGCGGGAGACAGAAGGGGAAAGAGAAGATGGAAGCTGTGGGTGGGATGCATCTTGAGTTACATAAAGGTACGAAGAATGAGGATTTATCAGAGAGGTGTTTGACGAACTGTAACTGGTAAAAAGGTCTATTTAAAAAAGCATACGACATGTTATTATGATGTTCTAATTGTTACTGTTATAGAGACTTTACCTGTAAATATTTGTCCTATTTTTACTTGAGTCAAGCCTCGGTGTGAGTGCAGTGTTGACTTCAAATGATGAGGCCCTTCATCCAAACACAGAATTACATCCAACATCCTGCAATAGTTTAAAAAAGGAACATTTTACATCCATGACAGAAAGTTGTCATATGAATTAAAGGCACTGTACGTAATATAAACTCTATGCACTGTAAAGTCGCTCAAGACGACTGCTGTCGTGAACTATGGGGGGATAGAAAAATGAATTAAATTGAACTGAACACTGATGATGTCATTACAGTTGAGCTTTCGTTGACAGAATCGTACTGTCTGTAATGTGACACGTCACTTGTTACAGTTGTAATCCACCTGCTGGAGTTTAGAAAACGGTACAAACTCTCTGTATTATGTATCATAACTAGTTATTTTTCTATCTGTTTTCACTTAGACATATGTCAAAAATTGAGTTAAAACCAGCTGAATTTGACCAAACAAACATTCCGAAAGCCTGTTTTCTGGGGACACAGGTAGAAGTAACAAAACAAAATGACGTACTGTGCCTTTAAATATAAAACAAATAAGTGTCTGCTTCACCCAACCCCTTTTTCAAAATGTATATTGGTGTTTTTTTGTGCATAGAATATATATATTTTTTAATTTTACTATAATTTAGTTTAGTTTTCTTTGTCTTTTATTTGGTTGATTTGATTTGGTCTAATAAGAAGAATAGTTTAGAATCATAGGATTTGTAATGGGGGAAGGTACTGTAAAGAAAAACAATTCCTCTGACTGAAAACATGAAAGATATTAACAATTATTCCATTTGCAGGCAACGTCAAGAGAAACACTTACCTATAATTGTGTATTCTATCGCTCTCAGAGTTAAAACTTGTTCAATCCAGTTCTGTGGCATTTTTTACATTTTGAGTAAAGTCTACATAACATTTACTCAAGAAAATAAGACTTTGGAATCTGCAAATTTGCACAAATATTATTGTTATTATTTGGTTTCATATTCTCATGGATCCAATGTATTTTCCTTGGGAAGTTTGAATATTTACATGGGCAAAGTCGGAAAGAGTTTGTTACCTAGATACCATGTATACTGTAGTATCCACAAATAGCAGGTCTGTCTGGTTCAGTTTGCTGCTTTTCTGACCACAAAGACACGCCCCTGTGACTGTAATTTTCCATGTGTTTACATTGCATTCTCAACACCAATCACTGAAAACTTTGTGTGTATTTAGCATGTACATTTTTTCTAACTTCAACTCGAACATTTCAAGTCGCAATGAATAATGCATTTTCCAGTATAGTATTCATGAGCGGATAAGTTACTCTGAGGGCGGAGTTTCACGCACATTTCCCAAGCATGAATCACAGCTGCTATGTGTCTGAATGGGTCGTCCTGAGGTCTTTAAGAGGAGACCGGTCCACAGCCTTGTATTGCATTCCCTCACTCTTCTACAACTTACAACAGCTGCAGGCTTGTTCTCACAACAACAGCAAAAAGTAAGTTATTCAGACATGACGCGACACGAATCAAGAAAGCATCCTTTGGAAAAAGCAAAAATGCAGTTACGGTGTGTGCTTGCAGAATGTCTCGTCTGGAGCAGATCATCACAACCATGGTGGAAGTCTTCATGGAGTACGCTGCTGAAGAAGAAGGAGGCAAGAAGGGGCAGCTGAGCACAAACGAGCTCAAATTATTGTTGGAGAAAGAGATACAGAGTCAAGATTTTAAGGTAGAATTCAAATGTTTGTGGTGCTTTGTCATTTCAAAACACATTATTCTTGCACATTTTATTAGATACCAGGGTTTTATTATCACTACCAGTGCTCAAAGCAATATAGTGGGACCTTTTATAAATCCATATCCCATTTAAAGTAGTGTATTATTCAATTCTTGCCTGATGATTTATTTCATTTTATAACTTAATCTTTATTTTTGTTTTTCTTTGGCATCAGCCTGAATGAGAATAAGTCGCGATCTCAGATGTGTGGACTTCTGAATCAACAGTAATCTTAGTGATGTCAGATTCTCTGTAAGAGTAAACTATAGATGTGAGGGCATGTTCAAACTTATTGGTCAAATGGACTTTAAAACGTGTGCACACAATAAACAAATCACAAACATGGTATAAAATAAAAATGAATATGCAATTTTAAAAGGGGTTTGACAAAGCAGCTCCAACTCCTCCCACTCGCTGATCTGTTTTGAAAAGAAACGAGCTGACCAATGGAAACAGTGGGCTAGTTTACACTTGTTTGGTACTTAAACATAATATTCACAAATGAAGACCTATTCTGTTCCAGAATGTCCGGAAGTGAACCAGACATCCATTCAACCGACCATCCGAGTATTCCTATTTGTTCACATCAATTACATGTGTTTTTTTAATAGCCCAATCCCCAGCAGCAGTCACCTCAGAGGCTTTAGTTGTCGATCGCCAACAACAGATCAAAGAAGCAAACAATTCAAACAAAGAAAGAGAAAAAAAAACAGTTCAAAAAAACAAGATTCAATCCTTAGACCCTCCTCTTTGACAAAAAACGACTCAACAACAACAAAACAGTGGAAAAAACAAAACATTAAGAAATCTCATAGAGGGCATATTTGTTGACATTGATTGATGAATGACATTGATTTGAAATTAAAATAAAAGACTCAATTACCCTTAACATTACATACTTAAGCCTGTTTGAAAATCCATATTTCACTTTGATCAAAGGACAGATACTTCTCCACTCAGACATGTGCGTTCAGTAGCACAAGTATGTTTTAAGAAATGTTTTTATTTTACATATAAGTTACATTTAATTTTCTTGTGTGTTCCAGGACAAGATCAATGCAGAGGACATAGAAGAGGCCATGGGTAAGCTGGACAAGAACCACGATGGAGAGATCAACTTCAGAGAGTTTACCACATGTATAAGTATGTTGGCCAAATGTTACTTCCATAAGAAAACAGGCAGAGGAGGCAGGAAAGGCAAGGGCAAAGGTAAAGAGGAAGACGCATGAAGGAGATGATCTTTTTGTTTTTCAATATTTCAGGTCATTACAAGTTTTTTTTTTTTGTCATGTTGAAATGTGTTGAAATGAAAACTGCTTGTGAAAAATAAATAGGCTACTGTGCCCAACCTTTCATTGTGAGATTTGTGAATAAAGAAGGTATTATCTAATCAAATATTAAGCTGGCTTGGTGTCTAAGGTTTCATTCACTGTCCCTGCATTGACAACAGACACAAGGGTTAGCTGCAGGGACTATGACGCAGCACCTATCTATGCCATGTTGCACAAAACTAACACTTTTGCCAATATAACTATACTGTATTTTCACTTGTCAATGTGAAATTAATAATTATAAAAAAAATAGTATAATTTGACAGACTCATGACAGGAACAGTGAGATAGAGCCAAGTATCATGTTGATTAAGCCAATCATCATATACCAAAGAAAATAGTAGTTTGTGACTTCCAATGACAAAGAGATACTCTCCATTCAATTTATTTTTCTATAAACCTAAACCACAACAGTAGTTTCCTCAGAGGACTTCACAAAGTTGGTGATTCACCAAAACAGATCAGCAAATCAAACCAAGCAAGTTCAAACCATAGACTGTATAAATATTGAGGAGGAGCACAGGGACTGGACTCCTGTTAGTGCCCAGAGTCAGAACTAAACATGGGGAGGCTGCTTTTCAGATTCATGCTGCTAAAATCTGGAACAGTCTTCCTGAAGATGTGAGACAGGCCTCCTCTCTGACAATGTTTAAAACCAGGTTAAAGACAGTTCTGTTTAGCTGTGCATACAACTGAGGGATTTTATATTTTTATCTTTATTTTTAATGTTCTGTGATTATTTATAATTTTAATGGTATTTTGTTCAGAACTTTGAGTTGCCTCGTGTATGAATTGTGCTATACAAATAAACTTGCCTTGCCTTGCCTGACGCCTATGTCCACCGTTGAAAGTTATTTGCTGTATGTGTGATCACTTCCCTCCTGCCAACTTTTTGCAAAATGGCAGCGAATAGCCTTCCCAGGAAAATGTGATAAAACACTTTTGCGTAAATTATAACAAATAGATAAATCAAATATTGGTTTCACAAGTTGATTTTCAGAATACAGCTGTTAAACAATATCCATTGTAACAAATTACTGTTAATAGCATATTGTATAAAAAGGAAATATTTTTTTAAATACATTTTTCAAAAAATGAAGAATGTAAACATAAACACGTTCACACTCTGCAATCAGAGTCAATGTGTACAAGTGTGAGATGTGTCTTTCTCCAATGTGCAGCAGCTTAGGGGGTAACGCTGGTGTTTGTGTGTGTGCGGGCACACAGTGGACACAAAGTAAACCTGAGCCTGAGAAATGAATGAATGAGAATGAAAGAGTGAAAAGTATGGCATACGAGCAGAGCGACATTAACTGGGCTTTAGGTTGTGCTTGTGACCAAAGCTTAGCTACAGTCAAACCTGTTTGTATCACGCCACACCCATGCGCCGCGCCCGAGTTTGTTCTCTTAAACCTCCAGACTCCACTCAATTGTTTCCACCAAACGTTCACTCAGTGGACAAACTTCATCCTGACGCTTTAGGGTTCCTTCTTTCATTTCTTATCGTCTTCTCCGAGGGTCTTCAAAGATACTAACCCATTTTTGAATTGCAAGTAGAAAGTACAACTAATCAGCTTTAAAAAAATAATGAAAAACGTAACAGGAAATAAAAAGTGAAATGATGAATACTCAAGTGAAGTACAGACTCCAGGAAACCTATTTTCCACACATACAGTTAGGACATGTGTCAGGAATGAAGCAGACAGAGACGGATCGTGGTGCTCCAAACTCTGGAAGTTTATTTAAGTTTCTCTCAAGTTCCAGTGGTTTTAATTTATTCTCTCAGACAGAATAAAGGCAGTACACAGTTTATATAGTCATTGTCACGTCACACATCGAAAGACATACGTGTCACACAGAGACAGTCACATCATAGTCAAAACATGGATGCACCATCAGAAGAGTCCTTGTATAGTCCTTGTTGTCCTCCGTAGGTCAAATCACTATCTAATCCTAACACTCTCCCCTTTGATCACGTAATCACATGTGATCACTCAATTTGATCAATCAATAAAGTGGAGAAAAAAAAAAAAAATAGTCTTCTGTCTTGTAGATGTTACAGACAATGCCTGCATCCTCCACCACCTGAAGAAGATGAGCCAAGTCTGGGATCGCGTCTTTAATTCAGACAGAAGACATGTTTTATTGTTGATGGTAGAGACAGCACGAACAACACGAACAAGGGATGTTACGACAGCAAGTGTATTATACAGCACGGAGGAATGCAGTCCTCCAATCAGCAGCTTCCACGGTGCCATATAGCTTGGCCTTCAGAAGTCAAAACAAGCGAAAAGTACTGGCTCGTGCAAATGTAATAAGGATGAGTTTGAACTTTAACAATAGTTGCTTCAAAGTGTTATGAAATCTCCCACATTTAAAGTTACTTTGGCCTGTGATGTTTACTATGAACAAGGTGCACCTGTCATCTGTAGCTGATCAGTTGGTTAGTTACAATACAAGCTCAGTATATCGTCGTCAGAGTCAGGTCTAACACGTTCTCACTTGAATGGAAATTGAAGTAAATCTGTTTATCAACTACACCTTGCATAACAAAGTCTTATACAAGTGTGAACATGTATTGTTGCAGTCTGAAGAAATATCCATCCATGTTCTTCCACTTTATCCATAGTCGGGTGGGGGGAGTATACCTTCCACCAACGCCCATGTCCTCTCTGTCCTGCGTTTGGGTCATGGGCTATACGGACTGGGCTTTGTCTGACCCATCCTCTTTGTGGTTCTCTACTGTATGATTAATAATATAAACAAAAAGAGAGACACAAGAAAGAATACTGCATTCGTTTTGTAAAGCATTGAAAGTACACTTATTCGGCCATATTTATACGAACACTGCAAAAATAAAATTAAAAGAATAATAAAGTAATAAATGCTTGAGCGAAGTGTTTTTAATCTTGAAATCCTAAAACATATTTTTCCAATGGAAGAAGCAGTTTAGTCTTGGGGTAAACACCATTTATTTCTCATTCCAAGAGAGAACTTTCCCGTCTGTTTTGAGACAGTCAAAGTGCAATAAAATTCAGACACATTTTGCATAATTCAATCCATTTTTCACTTATTTGTTGTCACTTTTTGCCGTGTATTGTTTATAGTCTGGTGACAGAGAATGAGAACACTTCACAAACAGTTGTGCAGTAATTTTTCTGTCATATTTTTAAATAGCTTTTTAATAAGCAAAAAGACTGGGTAATAATTGGGAAAGCTCAAGTTGTAACAAGATTCGCCCTGGCATCACCACAAAGTCAGGGCGTGACACCCTATAAAATAGTCCACCGCCTCGCCTATCCTCACACACTCCTGCACCAAGCAACAGCTACAGGTAAGTCACATATTGGGACTTGGATTAAAAACAAGTTCATAATAATTACTTTTATGTGTTGTATTCTTGTGGCAGTCATGCAGTCCGGACAAGAAGAGTTGGGGGAAGTCCTCATGTCTGCCCTCCTCATCAATAAGACCTTTTTGGATAACGCAACTAATGGCGCTATCTCCAAAGATAAAGCCATGAAACTTCTCCGTAAAGAGATGGGAAACCAAGCAGTAAGTTTAATTATAATTTTTGATTTGATTGATAAAATACAAAACATGAACATACAAGAAAATATCTAGACAAAACAATATTACAACAATGACAGACATACAATACAACAAAAATGATGAAAGGTGAGATGTGCGAGTGTGGTGTAATCAGTGTAGGTGTGCGTGTATTGTGTGGTTAAAGGTAGAAAAATATATGATAAATAAAAAGATGACGGGGAAGAATTTTACAAACATTGCATGTGATATAGAGGACAATATCTTACACACAACAAGAACAAAAACGGCAAAGATGCATTCCCAACTATTTACTGCGTATATGTATTTTCTATTTCTATGACGACAACTTACTGTATACACTCACATTCATTATCTCACCGTGACACTGTTTGTCTTGTTTCCTGTTTGTTTGTAGAAGAACGACGAAGTGGAAAAGTTGTTCAACACTCTGGACACTGACAAGAGTGGTGCACTCGACTTTGAAGAGTTTATGAGGCTTGTCGGCTTAACCGCTCGGATGTTTCATGAAATGATGAAAGCTTAATGCTGCACAACAATGCCCACAATAAAGCATTTGCCATCAGAGTTGCCTTTTTTCTGTTTGCTGAGAATGGGTTTGACTATGCACATTGTCAAGCGTTCCCTGTGGAGTTATAAGTTAGTCCACCGCGGTGAAGTTAGTTTGAAGTTGGATATCCGACAGACATTCAGCGGTCATTCCCTCTCGGTACACCTCTCCTTCTCTCTGGGTTCAGAGCGACTCGAAAGCCGCTCCAACATTTTAGTGCACCCCTACTACACACAGTACGGTAAACACGCGGAGACATGTACGCTGGTCTAATATTTACATATAAAAAATCATTAAAAATACTTACAACATTTTAATGATAAAAGAAGAGGTGTACCCCCTGCAGCTAGTGGAGGACTATGATCCTGACCTGATTTGGAGTCAATAGGTCACATGACCTGGAAGCTATTGAGCTAAAATGCTAATATTTGCCTTTAAAAATTCATTAAAAATTCTTAAAAAAAACTTAAATGACAAAAGAAGAGGTGTACCCTTTGCAGCTAGGGGAGGACTATGATCCCGACATGATTTGGAGTCAATTGATCACATGACCTGGAAGCTATTGAGCTAAAATGCTAATATTAGCCTTTAAAAATTCATTAAAAATACTTAAAAATACTTAAACGACAAAAAAAGAGGTGTACCCCTTGCAGCTAGTGGAGGATTATGATCCTAAACTGATTTGGAGTCAATAGATCACTTGACTTGGAAATATTTACATGTTAAATAAATTTTAGAGATTGAAAATGAAAAAAGTACTTGTACTATATATATGCAGCTAGTGGAGTAACATGATGTAATTTTTTCATCATGAAAATATATTCAACATAGCCCTGTCCCTTGTTTCTCTTCTTCACTGGCATAACACACATGCCCAGCTCTTTTCCATTGCATCCTCCAAGTCCTTGCTTTCCAACGATACACAAGAATCATGGAACCACCTGTCACAGTCATCACACTGTATCTGTTCAATTGAAAACAAAAATAAGTAGTATTTTTTTTCAGTTGTCATAAAAGAAATCTTATTTGTACAATGGAGCTGAAGGGTCATCTAATTTTCTCTTTTATTTTCAGAGCCTATGAGAGTAAAGTCAGAATATTACAATATTACAAGATTAATCAAAATCAAAATATTATAAGATTAATCTCAAAATATTATGTGGTCCGGTTCGGAGACCACAGCCATGGGTTCTGGTTAGGAGGCCACAGCCAGGGACCGGAAGGGGTCTGGTTCGGAGACCACAGGATTTCATCTCTGCTGTTTGCGGACAATGTTAAGTAAGTAAAATAAGTAAGTAATCTTTATTTATATACCGCCTTTCACAGACCAGAGTCAAAAAGCGGTTTACAAACATGTTGTCCTGTTGGCTTCAACAAACCAGGACGTGCAACATGCACAGGGACGGTTTGCAACCAAGTGTGAAGCGGCTGGGATGAGAATCAGCACCTCAAAATCTGAGGCCATGGTGCTCCGGAAAAAGGTGCATTGCCCTCTCCAGGTGGGTGGGGAGGTCCTTCATTTTTTTTTTTTTTTAAAGCTTTGAATGGACTGGCCCCTCCTTACATCTCGGACCTCATCCAAATTCACCACCCGCCCCGCGCGCTGAGGTCCGAAGGCCGGCTCCAGCTCGTGGTACCTAAGACCAGACTTAAAACCCCGGGGGACAGGGCCTTCTCTGTGGCTGGACCAAAGCTGTGGAACGCCCTGCCCCCCCACGTCAAAACAGCTCCCTCGTTGGAATGTCTGATGAAGGGGAAGAAAATTGATGGATGGATAATGTCAAATTATTATGAGATCCATTTCGAAATATTATGAGTGCCTGGGCCCCATAAGAGACCTGCTTGCGACCCTGGGGAGAGACTTGCGGAGCGCAGGAGAGAACTGCAGACAGAGCAGGTCCAGCCTCTGAGCACCTTGGTACTCGTAATGTTTTTAGCCAATTGCTTCAGTATGTTTTTATAAAAAAAAACATATATTATTCTACATTTACCTGTTTATTGAGGAGCAGAAGAGGATCCAGCACAAGGTCCAGTGGAGTATCAGGAGGGCCAAGAAGGACTTTGGGAAAAAGCTGGAGCAGAAGCTGGCTCAGGGAAACGCCTGCGACATGTGGAGAGGACTAAAGAACATCTCCGGCTTTGGGCAGAGTGCCAGTGGGACAGCGGATGGAGACCAGCACCGGGCGGATGAATTTAACCAATATTTCAACCAGTTTGATTCTTCCCCCCTCCCCATCTCCCCCCCTCCCTCCCCCACCTCTTCACACGTGCCCAGCCCGGTGGACACTGCCTTCGGCTGCCCCGGGCCGTCCTGCCCCCACACCCCCAGCCCCCACCTCTGACAGTACACCCCCCCCCCCCCCCCCCCCCCCCCTCTCCCATCACACCGGACCAGGTGAGGTGTCAGCTCCAGAGACTGACTCAGAGGAAATCCACAGGACCGGAAGGAATCAGTCCCAGGCTGCTGAGGACCTGTGCAGACCAGCTCTCTGAGGTCCTCTCTGAGGTCCTCAGCTACATGTACAACCTGAGCCTCAGCCTGGAGAAGGTCCCTGTCCTGTGGGAGACCTCCTGTGTGATCCAGGTTCCTAAAACAGCGCACGCCAAGGAACCGGCTCACTACAGACCAGTCGCACTCACCTCCCACTGACCTCCCACCTGATGAAGACCATGGAGCGGCTCATCCTCACCCACCTCCGCTCTGTGGTCAGCCCCACCCTGGACCCGCTGCAGTTCGCCTACAGGCCCAACATCGGAGTAGAGGACGCCGTCATTTACTTACTGCAGCGGACGCTCTCCCACCTGGAGCCTGCAGGGAGCGCTGTGAGGGTCATGTTCTTCGACTTTTCCAGTGCTTTCAACACCATCAGACCGGCGCTGCTGCGGGGGAAGTTGGAGGATGCAAGAGTGGACAGTAGCCTCACTGCATGGACCATCAACTACCTCACCGCATGGACCATCGACTACCTCACTGCATGGACCATCAACTACCTCACTGTATGGACCATCGACTACCTCTCAGACCGACCACAGTACGTGCGGCTGCGCAGCTGTGAGTCTGAGGTGGTAGTCTGCAGCACTGGGGCCCCTCAGGGCACTGTCCTCTCACCGTTTCTCTTCAACATCTACACCTCAGACTTCACACACGACACACACAGCTGCCACCTGCAGAAGTTCTCCGACGACTCCGCCATCGTGGGCTGTGTGTCTGAGGGGAACGAACTGGAATATGGGTCGGTTATCAAGGACTTTGTCGACTGGTGTGAGCGCAACCACTTGTGCTTGAACACCAGTAAGACCAAGGAGATGGTACCTGTGCTAACACCAGTAAGACCAAGGAGATGGTACCTGTGCTAACACCAGTAAGACCAAGGAGATGGTACCTGTTCTAACACCAGTAAGACCAAGGAGATGGTAATCGACTTCAGGATAAAACCACTTTCCCACACGCTGCTGAACATCCCAGGGGGAGGACATTGAGCTGGTGGACAGCTTCAAGTACCTGGGTGTTCACATAAACAATAAACTGGACTGGTCCCATACCACCAACGCTCTGCACAAGAAGGGCCAAAGTCGCCTCTTCCTTCTGAGGAGGCTGAGGTCCTTCTGAGGAGGCTGCGGTCCTTCTGAGGAGGCTGCGGCCCTTCTGAGGAGGCTGAGGTCCTTCTGAGGAGGCTGAGGTCCTTCTGAGGAGGCTGAGGTCCTTCGGAGTGAGCAGGCCTCTGCTCAGGACCTTTTATGACTCTGTGGTAGGCTCTGCCATACACTACGCTGCCGTGTGCTGGGCCCCGGGCAGCACAGAGCGGGACAGCCCCCTGGACTCTGTGGAGGAGGTGAGGGACAGGAGGGTGCTAGTCAAGCTCCTCCAGCAGACTGTTCCAGAGACGGGGCCATAGTGATGAACGTAAAGCGCTTTGGGTGACCTTGGTCTGTAAAATGCGCTATATAAATAAACATTACTTACTCACTTACATATGCCTCAGCTTGAGTGTGTGTCCTGGCTTTGGTAATTGAGGAGTCTGCTGCAAGAACCGGGATGGTTCTTTGGATAAAAGCAGTTATGAGTAATAAGAAGGCCCAAGACCATGAAGACATGAAAAAAACCAGTGAAAGAACCTAAAAATTGATCCTGAAACACACGGGAAGCCAATGCAACAAATTTAAAACCGATGTAATAAAACTGTACTGTATTAAAAGTCAGGATCATATTCCTCCCCTAGCTGTAGGGGGTACACCTCTTCTTTTGTCATTTAAGTTTTTTAAAAGTATTTTTAATGAATTTTTATATGCAAATATTAGCATTTTAGCTCAATAGCTTCCAGGTCATGTGATCTATTGACTCCAAATCAGGTCAGGATCATAGTCCCTCCACTAGCTGCAGGGGGTACACCTCTTCTTTTATCATTAAAATGTTTTAAGTATTTTTAATGAATTTTTACATGTCAATATTAGCATTTTAGCTCAATAGCTTGTAGGTCATGTGACCTATTGACTCCAAATCAGGTCAGGATCATAGTCCTCCACTAGCTGCAGGAGGTACACCTCTTCTTTTATCATTAAAATGTTTTAAGTATTTTTAATGAATTTTTAAAGGCAAATATTAGCATTTTAGCTCAATAGCTTCCAGGTCATGTGACCTATTGACTCCAAATCAGGTCAGGATCATAGTCCTCCACTAGCTGCAGGGGGTACACCTCTTCTTTGATCATTAAAGTGTTTTAAGTATTTTTAATGAATTTTTATATGTAAATATTAGCATTTTAGCTCAATAGCTTCCAGGTCATGTGACCTATTGACTCCAAATCAGTTTAGGATCATAGTCCTCCCCTAGCTGTAGGGGGTACACCTCTTCTTTTCTCATTTAAGTTTTTGTAAGTATTTTTAATGATTTTATAAAGGCAAATATTAGCATTTTAGCTCAATAGCTTCCAGGTCATGTGATCAATTGACTCGAAATCAGGTCAGGATCATAGTCCTCCCCTAGCTGTAGGGGTTACACCTCTTCATTTAGTTTTTTATGATTTTATATATGCATATAGCTTCCAGGTCATGTGATCAATTGACTCGAAATCAGGTCAGGATCATAGTCCTCCCTAGCTGTAGGGGTTACACCTCTTCTTTTATCATTAAGTTTTAAGTTTTTTTAATGAATTTTTATATGTAAATATTAGCATTTTAGCTCAATAGCTTCCAGGTCATGTGACCTATTGACTCCAAATCAGGTCAGGGTCATAGTCCTCCACTAGCTGCAGGGGGTACACCTCTTCTTTTATCATTAAAGTGTTTTAAGTATTGTTAATGAATTTTTATATGTAAATATTAGCATTTTAGCTCAATAGCTTCCAGGTCATGTGACCTATTGACTCCAAATCAGGTCAGGATCATAGTCCTCCCGTAGGGGGTACACCTCTTCTTTTGTCATTTAAGTTTTTTTAAGAATTTTTAATGAATTTTTAAAGGCAAATATTAGCATTTTAGCTCAATAGCTTCCAGGTCATGTGACCTATTGACTCCAAATCAGGTCAGGATCATAGACCTCCACTAGATACAGGGGGTACACCTCTTATTTTATCATTAAAATGTTGTAAGTATTTTTAATGATTTTTTATATGTAAATATTAGACCAGCGTACATGTCTCCGCGTGTTTACCGTACTGTGTGTAGTACGGGTGCACTTAAATGTTGCGGCGAATGTCTGTCGGATATCCAACTTCAAACTAACTTCACCGCGGTGGAGGTCCTGGGTTTGATTCCACCTCCAGGGCATTTCATTGTGGAGTTTGCATGTTCTCGCTGTGTCTACATGAGTTTCTTCTGTGACTTCCTGTTACTTACGTGGCAAAAAAAATGATTCTGATGTACTCCCATATTTCGCCTACCTCTAAAACACGTACAAGAGGTGAGGGTTGAGGAGTGTGTCTTTGTGAGTGTGACTGTGGGACTACAGGTATAAATACTAGCTGCAATCTGGTGTATTTACAACCCCTGCTGTTCATGAACACACATTGTCCCATTCATATAAACAAATTAATACAAACACAATGAAATCAATCAATACAATCAATAAAAAAACACTAGGGTTTTAATTATGAAGTGTGACTGGCTACCAATAATAACATTAACGAGAAATGAAGACAAGGGAGCGGCAATTTCATCTTAACACGATTTATTCTCGAGTCCCTCCAGATCGAACGAAAGGAGTCAAGGCATTTTATATGATGTGTGCCAATGTGCAAGATGTCATCAGATATAAATGACACGCGCTTAAGATATAGATGTTGCGGTAACAATGTGGGTAAAACAAGTATGTTCCATTCTTCAGATAATGTTTAGCAGTAATACAGATAAAACAGGGGTCCACAGTACAAAATATTTAGGTCAGGTTCCACAACATGAATGAATGAGACTATGCAACAGAGAAATACATTCAATTAGAGTGAGTCAAGACCTGACATATACTTTGTTTCATGATATTAGTGATTATTATAATAATAATAATAATTATTATTATTATTATTATGGGGCGACAGTAGCTCAGTTGGTAGAGCATTGGTCTTTGGACCTAATGGTCCTGGATTCAATCCCCACACGACCCATGTCACCTGCTCCCACTGATGTCTGCTGTCGTTGTGTCCTTGGGCAAGACACTTAACCCCACTTTGCCTGAAGTACCCGCTGAAAGACCAAGGCCGTATCTGCATTGAAGGAGCAGCCATCTTCCTGTGGACCCACCACCTGCAGGAGGATCGGCTACTGGTGCTATGTGAGTTGGGTGGCAGGCTCTGATTGCCACCCCCCTAAACCAGAAATGGAAATAAAGGGATGAAAATGAATGAATGAATGAATATTATTATTATTATGAATATTATTTTGTATTTTTAATATTATTACTACTAATATCATCATCATTATTATCATTATTATAATATTTTTTTTAAATAGGAAAAATGAAATTAGTTATATGGCGAAATATAAATTGATCACATATTTATCATGGTCATTCAGCAATAAATTAGCCAACAACTGTAGAGTCCGTTTTAATTACTTTTTAAAACACTCAAGTTGACTCGAGACAACAGGTGGACGGACATAACACCATAGAGTCTGGAAAGCTATGTTTCCACTTGCTTTCTACCTCTTACTTGGTTTCCATGCGCGGTGCATGGACCACAGTTTGAGAAGCCCGTAGCAGCCCATAGGAGGCAGACATACCATTGGAGGGGAGCGCACATTTAGGGCGGTATCGGCAAGGATCGGAAGCACTCGGGATGTTTCGTTTCCTCCCTGGCTGCTGCTAACATTTACCCGGTGCTAAAAACAACAAAGGCCAACATTCACTCTTGAATGGTACTTTCAAAGCTATACATGTTGTTACAATGTCCGGGTTAATAAATGAACTGAAATAGAGCCGCTTTTGGCTGATTTAAACACTTGACTAGTTTGTGTTTCTTGGTTGAGTTGCTCCTGTACTACACTTTGGGTTTTCCGACTTGGCAACTGCAGAAAGTGGAAGAAAAGCACAGCGCACTACTGCAGAGGCTGGACCACTGCGCAGAGGAGAACACAGGACTGCAGAGCACCAGGAGCACCCTGCCCGTGTCCGTGTCTGTGTCTGTGTCTGTGCTGCTGCAACATGTCGAGCTGCAGTGAGCCAGGAGTGGACCAAGGCTTTGGCACAGAGGCGGCTGCCAGCTGTCAGACCCCCGCCATCACCCCGTCCTCCACCGCCTCCTCCCCGGGCACGATCCCCTGCGGAGGCCCGCGCCTGGTGCGTATTGTCAAGTCAGACTCTGGGTACGGCTTCAATGTCCGCGGACAGGTGAGCGAAGGCGGACAGCTCCGGAGCATCAATGGACAGCTTTACGCACCACTGCAGCATGTCAGCGCGGTGCTGCCCGGGGGAGCTGCACACCGAGCCGGGGTGTCCAAGGGGGACAGGATCTTGGAGGTGTAAGTGCATCTACTGTCCTCTAATGTGTGTGCTGTGTAGGTTTCCTGGTGGAGGGTCCATCACCTGCTGGTCATCAGCATTAATAGCCTATGCTTCATTCAGTCAATACTCTTGGTGGTAAGCTACTGTAGCCACAGATGCCCTGGTGGTAAAACTGCCCATCCACTTGAGTGGGCCCCCATCCACGTGCTTACTAGGTCCCCACTTGCTTAGCTTCTGAGATCTGAAAGACCAGCCTCTGACAATCTCTGTTAAATGCACATCTTTATATCTAGTAATAATGTGTTGTATTTTTCCTGCAGCATCAATCTGCTCTTTTTTATTCAAATGAATGAGTGGTCTGTTTTTCCAACATGATTAGTGATTCACACCACGCTCCTGCAGATGTCAGTCTAATAATATCAGTCATTTATAACTGCTTTCTCTGCCAATAGCCGACTTGTCAATATAGTATGATGGATCATGGCATATTTCTGCACATGCATTTGATCAGCTCTCCTTTAGGCGTCCGTGCCTGGTTTGAGAAGGCTTCTCTGTGTTGCTATGGAGAGCTCTGCCGCACAGTGAATCTCCTGTGTGACTATGGGGGGTGCAGAAAGCGGGCTTTGCCTCCACTTCAGTTTTCATTGGCTTTTCATCAATCCAGCTCTGTCGTCCAATTGGCTGCACTGCACACTGCACAGTCACTGAATGTCCTGCAGTAACCCAGCAGCTGGATGACCCCATTACTGCATTAAACAAGTGTCAGAAATATGCTGATGAGAGCAAACAATATAAACGATTTTTGGCACACACTGAAACAATCTAAATATATTCCTTGCAAATACTTTTGAAGCAGGATGTTCAACTTGTTTTCTAAGGCTGGACAAAGTTAATGCAATAATGTGGAACATTGTAGGAAAGCATAACATCTCCATAGAAATTATTGTATTGCAGATCAGTCATAGTGCCCCTTTACTTTAATATTTGCAGTAATTTGGATTATTGCATAAATCTAATGGAATATTGGCAACTTTATAGGAGAGATTGCGGAGAGGAGCTGGTTGAGGTGGCGCTGGCCTTTGTTCTGGATGCCTCATGGACGCCTGCCTGGGAAGGTGTCCTGGGAATATCCCACCAGGAGGAGACCCTGGGGAAGACCCAGTACCTCCCACATGTCCTATATGTCTCTCAGCTGGCCTGGGAACGCCTCAAGAGTCCCTCAAATGAGCTGGAAGCAGTGTGTGGAGGGGGAAGTCTGGGCATCTCTGCTCAGACCCGCAACCCGGCAACCGATAAAGCGGAATAATATAAAAGAATGGATGGCGATTGTGTTGAAGCAGTTTACATTTGCATTACAGACAATTACATGAAGTGTCCAAAATACTTATTACCAAGATCTAACAGCCTTGAGTTGATGCTCAGAGGTTTAAGAAGGGCGTGTGACTGTTTTCAAGACAAGTTAACTACTGGCTATTTACTGTACATTGCACTGTTATTTGAACCCAACGTTACACCCAGTGGCAGAAAGCTGCAGCAGAATACAACCTTTTACTCAGGTTTTAAAGAGACCTAATAATCCTTTAAGTAAATATTAACATAGTGTTTTTGCTTTATTTCATATTATTTATAAGATACGTCGATTCTCAATTTGGACTTGTGTTTTGCTTCTGCCTGGATGATAAACCAATATTTTCACGTATTTTTTATTTATTTTGTGTTTGTGTAGTCTAGGTGAATATATCTCATAAGTAATGCATGTTCTTCATTTGTCCTACAGTTCCAAATTGGGACGTAAGAAGCGGAATTAATGAGTTTCTAACTAAGCCTGTATTTGTCTGTGTTTGTCAGAAATGGGGTTAGTGTGGAGGGAGCGACGCATAAGCAGGTGGTGGAGCTGATTCGGGCCGGAGACCAAGTGCTGGTGCTGAGGGTGCTGTCGGTCCCCCCTCAAGAGGCGGACTGTCTGGACCCAGGGGATGAAGGCTCCGCCCACTCCTGCTACGACTACTCTGACAAACAGGCCGTGCCCATCTCTGTGCCCTGCTACAAGCACACAGAGCTCAACCAGGAGAAGTTTGTGGTAGGTCCGACAATAATCATGACGTCTCTCTTACAAATATCACAGTGAGACACACAACCAGGGGTACACAGAACTGCTTGGAGTGATTGCATTGTTTCTGCTCACCTCTTTGGTTTGTAATTTCATGTTTTAGAATGTGAAACAATATCCTAAGTAGAAAATAATGTGAAGCAAATATGTGGTGAAAAAGTATGAAGGGTAAAGAATTTTCTGTCTGTAACTCCCTATGGTAAATTTTAGTTTTGTTTATTTTTTTATTTGGAAATTCCAGACCGCAAACACAGCTGTGGGATTGTCTGACTTAATTAAACTTAATTTAGATTACCAAATCTAATTTATGGGCAATACTTTTGTTTAAAAAGGTAGAAAAATGCTTGGAGCGAGATGTCATTGTGGTACAAAAACATCAAACAAAGCGGGCCGAGACAGAAGTTTTTAGTCAGAAGGGCTCGTTTTAAATGAAGGAATTCCTTTTTTAATGGTTCAAATGCTCAAAAAGTGTATTTGCATAATGTCTCTTTTTACATAATTTTTGTATGTCATGTCGACGTCTTTTGAATGAAAAGAACGGGAGGAATATAGAATTTAGGAAATACTATAAACATTCTAGTTATTACAATTTTTTTATACTCAAAATATGTTTTCTGTTCTTCTTACAGGTTTATAATGTGTGTATGGCAGGCAGACAGCTGTGCTCGAAGCGATACAGAGAGTTTGTCATTTTACACCAAAACCTGAAGAGAGAATTTTCAAGCTTCACTTTTCCTAAACTTCCCGGGAAATGGCCCTTTACTATGTCCGAGCAGCAGCTGGACGCTCGCCGCAGAGGCCTAGAAGAATACTTGGAAAAAGGTAAGGATCATGCAATAGTCAGCCTGCATCCGAATCCATAACATTGTCTCCTATCTTATCCTTCCTTCCTTCTCACTTTTGTACGGCTTGGTAGCATTCTTTTTTTTTTCATCTAAGTGGCATATAAACGTCTTAAGATATTCTTGCTCTGTCTCATTAAAAGCCAAATTTAGATGACAAGGAAGGACAAGGGGGGTATGGCAAGGCAAGTTTATTTGTATAGCGTAATTCATACATCAGGCAACTCAAATTGCTGAACAAATCAAGATCGCATTAAAATCATTAAAATCATGAAGTATGCAGCCTTTGTTATATGGTTTTGCTTAAAGCTGGAGTACCTAACTTTGAAACCACAAAATAAATACAAATTCAGGTAACTAGTGGGTGGCTGAGTGGATAGCACTCTCGCTTCTCTGCAAGAAGGTCCTAGGTTTGAATCCCGGTCGGGACAGGGCCTTTCTGAGTGGAGTTTGCATGTTTTCCCCGTGTCTGCGTAGGTTTCCTCTGGGTGCTCCAGTTTCCCCTACCACTAAAAACATGCACAATAGGTATGAATGTAATGAGTGAGTGAATGGATGGTGTTGATTGGGGGGCTTTGATGCACCTGAACTCTGAACAGTGTAAAGCGCTTTGGGGGACCTTGGTCTGTAAAATGCTCTATATAAATAAGCATACTTACTTACTTTCTTCCTTGCTATCAAAACGGTATTCACATGCATCCTCTGTCACATCTTTGTATCATCTTTATTGTAGTCTGATTTGTTCACGAAATGTATAATCAACACTCTTCCTGTTGGGTCAAATACGTTAGTAGCTCCAGCTTTAAAGGCGATATTGTCCATCCTGCAATATTTGTCAATGTGAGTGTTCTGTCCACAGTGTGTTCCGTTCGAGCCATTGGGGAAAGTGACATCATGCAGGAGTTTTTATCAGAATCAGATGAGGTTAGAAAAATCTTGGAAATATTCTTATGGAAATCTACAAGACCACGTCATGTGTTTGCATGTGACAGCAGAACTCCAACGGCGTCTCCGATGTGGAGCTGAGAATAGCCATGCCCGATAAAAGCACGCTCACTGTCAGAGTGCGGAGGAACGCCACCACAGATCAGGTGTACCAGGTGAGTCACATCTCAGTGGAGAATTTACTCTTTCATTCAGTCCTTACCATACATACTGTACGTTTTTAAATCTTATTAACTGGTGCCAATTGGAGAGGAAATTTCAAAGTTGCCAGCAAACTGATATACACACTCACAAGAACATTTAGGAGATGGACATTTATTAACATTTATGGGCCGTGGTCATCCCGCCCCCTACGGCCCAATGGCTCCTGCGTGTTTGTTGTTATTGCATTTCCTGTGTTTGATTCTCTGATCTGTGTTGGCGTATCAACAACTTTATGAAGTCTTCCTACACTTCAAAAACTGATAAAATATGAGGTAATAATTGCTTGAATAAGGTGGTTTTTATCTTAGTTTTAGATTTCCCAATGGGACGAAGCCATTTAGTCTTATTTCAAGAACTGTTGCTTTATTTTCTCCTCCCGAGGGAGACATTTCTTGTATCTTTTTAAGAAAAGGTCATTTTTTCCTTGTCCCATTGGAAAATCTTGTTTTTAAGGCACTCAAAATGTGCTCAAATCAGATTCAGTTTATTTGCCATTTGCAGTAAAAAAAACCCACATTGGAATACAAAGTCACCAGTGTGCACAGACAAATACAGACATTACACAACATTAAAAGTACAGAAATAAACAAATAAAACGGTAAACAATTGTCACTGAGAAAAACTATTTGACTTAAACAGTTTCAATATACAGGTGCAAGAACATTAAACATTAAATTAAACATTAAAGTGCTTTGTTCAAACTGATAACAGCTTGTGGGAAGAAGTTGTTAGCATAACGAGATGTCCTGCATCTCAGAGAACGATATCTTCTGCCTGAAGGAAGAAGCTGGAACATGGCTTTTCCAGGGTGGCCAGAAGAGTCATTGACAATCCTAAGAGCTTTGTTTAAAAGTCTGGATTTATAAAGAACCTCCAGAACAGGAGGCTCACAGCCCACGGTCCTCTTTGCAGAGCGGAGCACCTTGTTTAAAGCTCTCTTTTCTTTATCTGTGATGTTTCCAAACCACAGACACAGAACCAACAAGTAAACTCTCAATGGTGCAGCGATAGAAGTTAAGAGAATTTACCACTAACTAAGATTCTGCTTAAGTTTCCGCAGGAAGTAGAGGCGCTGACGAGCTTTCTTAACGACTCGGTCAGTGTTTTTAACCCATTTCAGGTCGTTAGACAGAGTTAAACCCAAAAAACGTGCACTCCTCTACGATCTGCACCTGGGAGTTGTCGATAGCAACAGGAGTGTGAGAACTGTTACGACTGAAGTCAAAGACCAGCTCACAGGTTGTTAGCTTTACTCCACTGAACCACATTTTGGATCTCTGCTCTATAAGAGGATTCATCATTATTTCTGATGAGACCAACGATGGTGGTATCTTCAGCATATTTAATGATCAGGTTCGAGTCCGAGGAAGACACACAATCATGAGTGTACAATGTAAAAAGTGAAGGACTCAAAATACATCCCTGAGGAGATCCGATGCTCACAGAAGCAGCATCTGAAAAACAGTCATTGATAAGATGTATTTAGCCAAATTTGAGGAATTTTTGACTTATTTTTCATCACTTTTTACACTGGAGTGGGTTAGGGTTATACAAAAAATAATTGAATTGATTTGAATTTCCAGCTCCTATTGGTGAATGCTGCTGTGTCCTTAGGCAAGACACTTAAATCACCTCGCCCCCAGTGTCTGTGTACACTGATGTATGAATGGGTGAGGGTTCCTTGATATGAAGCACTTTCTGTGCCTTGAAAGGTAGAAAAGTGCCATCTAAATATGACCATTTACCATTTAGTTCCACTTTCACAAAAATACTAGTGAATTGCTTGTGGTGCCAGGATGGTGCGCTGTGGCCAGAAAGTGCAAAGTGTCATGTCGTTGGACATGTTACATTGCCTCAGGCACAATCCAAATCCTTTCTTGTCTCTGCCATTTTTCACCCAGTCCCAGCAGAACGGTTGAGGGATCAAGAATGGAGGACACAAGTTAAGAGATGATATGGAGCGATTGGTGTGGTTTGGCTGCCTGCTCTAATAAAAAAAAGTTACAAACCAAACAAAACTTGGTTAATTCTTGAAATAAAAATGTACTAATAACCTCCAGAAAAAACAATCATAAATGGTTGCAAAGTAGTCATGTCTTCACTGCTGCTGTGTTTCAGGCTGTGGTGAATAAACTTGGGATGGATAATGTAATGTCCAGTTATTTTGCACTGTTTGAAGTCATCAACCACAACTTTAGTGAGTATTCAATTATTCATTTCAAGACTGTGTTGTTTTCAGTTATGCATGTGCAACTGAGAGACATGTGTTGTATAAAAAAAGTTTTATGAATGATGTTTGATTTATTTGTTTGCAGTGTAATGATGTATGTGTTTTTTTTCTAGTGCGCAAACTTGCCCCAAATGAGTTTCCTCACAAACTGTACGTTCAGAACTACACGTCTGTCGTCCCGGGGACCTGCCTCACGCTGAGGAAGTGGCTTTTCACCACAGAAGAAGAAGTTTTGCTCAGCGATAATCAGCTGGCTTTGTCCTACTTCTACCACCAGGTCAGCTCCGGTCAGCTCTGGTCAGCTCTAACTGCATTATCTGTCACTTTATAAAGCATGTGTCTTTCTTCAGGCCGTGGAGGACGTAACAAAGGGTTTTATAAAAGCAGAGCAGAAGTTGTATCAACTGCAGAAACTAGAAGAGCAGCAGAAGATGTCTATGGTATTATTTTCTTTTACACTTCGGTTACTAATAGCTGAGCACACGTGGAAGTGACATATCCTGTATTGCTGTAGTAAACAATATCTACCTCAAGACCATGTGACAGGTCCTCATAAAAGAGTCTATAAAACACTTGTGAATAACCTTGTCCACATCACATGAGCTTCATTCTTAAGGCCCAATTAAACACAATGTAGAAATGCAAAATGCAGCATGTGGATTAACATCGCACAGTTCAAATGTCATACTTTCCTGAAAATATGGCATCATAAAAAAAATGAGTAATACGTAATCTTTATTTATATTATAGCACATCACCCAAAACTCTTTACAATGTTCAAGGCAAGGCAAGTTTATTTGTATAGCACAAGGCAACTCAAAGTGCTGAACAAAATAAGAAAGCATTAAAATCATAAATAATCACAGTACATTAAAAAGAAAGATAAAAATATAAAATCCATCAGTTGTATGCACAGCTAAACAGAACTGTCTTTAACCTGGTTTTAAACATTCAGTCAGAGAGGAGGTCTGTCTCACATCTTCAGGAAGATTGTTCCAGATTTTAGCAGCATGAATCTGAAAAGCAGCCTCCCCATGTTTAGTTCTGACTCTGGGCACTAACAGGAGTCCAGTCCCTGTGCTCCTCAGAGTCCGGGCTGGTTCATATGGGACTAACATGTCACTAATATATTTTGGTGCGAGGCCAAGGAGAGACTTGTACACAAGCAGAGCTGTTTTAAAGTCTATTCTCTGAGTTCAGATATTGTTTAATTCTCTCCACACACCGAACACAACAAACACCATCCATTTCACTCACTTGTTACTTTCATACCTAATTATATCATTTTGATTTCCTTTCACAATTGTCTGTCAATGTGTGGTAGTCTTAAAGCTAGAAGGTCAATAAAATATCCTCATGTTTATTGTTGTAACTTGACAACATGTGACTAGTTCATGAGTTATGAATACCAGTTCAAGGCACTCACAGAATGTATCTCCACATAGAATGCTTTGAAATCTGTTTTTTCGCTTTTCTATTTTACAGAATCATAACTTTGACGATTGGCACATTCACCTGAGATGCACTCGTTTAGTTTCTATATAATATATCTGTATATCTTTGTTTTTAGTACTTGAATTTCCTGAGGGACTGTGAAGGCTACAATGAGATTATGTTTCCTCATTGTCCGTGCGACTCGCGACGTAAAGGCCACGTCATCACAGCCGTCAGCATCCACCACTTTAAACTCCACGCATGCACTGAAGAGGGCGCTCTCGAGGCAAGCACAACTCATTGTACACTCCATACAAATGTTTTTGGTCATCAAGACAATGTTATAGGTCCCATTTATGTATTATAAACCCACCATGCTGATTTCTTACTCTCATCAAGGCAAGTTTTATAGCTTCTGATCAACACAATGTTCACAGAAGTGTTATGGTTCTCATCATCAATTAGCCATTTGACACTATTTTTTTTTTTACACTTTCTTTACAAAACAACATTTTCTAACTCCACCGTGCCTGTTGGAAATGCACTTCCGTACATCTATGTCAATGATATTTCACTCAAAATCTCCCTTTTCCACCCACAATAGAACAGCTGATAAAAAAAAATGAATTGACCCGATACTTTAAAACGGCAGTCCACACATACAGGTTAAATTAAAATATAGTTCAAACGTTCATTTATTTCTCTATTTGTTTGTTATTGTTTGTTATAATTCCTATCATTATGGCTTACAGACCTCTTTTCAATATTCTAACTTCCTGAGAACTTTTATTTTTGGGTTTTTACAAGCTGTGATCCATAATTATCAACATTATAACAAACAAAGTCTTGATATACAGTATATGATACAACTCTATCACATTGTAAGTTGAATGACAGAAGTAAATGGACTTTTGAACATTATCCTACTTTTCTGAGTTTCACCAGTTTGTTGTCGTGTAAACGGATCTGTGTGGTTTAGAACCAGGTGATTTCTTTTGAGTGGGGGGAGATGCAGCGGTGGGACACGGACGAAGAGGGCATGGCCTTCTGCTTCGAATACGCTCGGGGAGAGAAGAAGCCTCGCTGGGTCAAAATATTCACTCCATACGTGAGTCATTTATGTAGTTTTCTTTTATTGCTCTCCAGTCTGAAATAAAACCCTGTACACTGTGTATTCTTAGAAGCAAAGTTCTATTTTTGCATGTTGTGCCCTTTTACATTTTCACTGCTGTGTCCACAACCAGCAGGCATTTCAAAACTAAGGCCTGCACTGGGCCCTTATAGTTCTCAGTTTTTCTTCTAAACTGGTTCATATTATCTTGTTTTTAGTTTTGTTTTTTTGAAATAATAATACAAATAATTAATTAACCTCAAACTGTTGCCTTATGATTTTGTTCACTTTGAACTCAGTTGTGGTATTATTTAAAAACACATCAAGGTAACCGGATGTTTGTTTAAAATGGCACATATGTATTTCTCATATATTTTTTTTTACCTGATTTTTTAGCAGTCCTCAATTTTTTTTTATTTTTTAGGGGGGTTTTTTTACGGCGAAATGTCTGGAAAAAATATATATATATAGATGTCTTTGTTTTTTGAAGTTGTATGTATGTGTTTTTGTTTCCTATTGTTTTCCCAATGATGTAATAATGTATTTTTTTCCTCACTTCTGGGCATGTGAAGCAGCTGGTGTTGCGCTATATAATAAAATAGACATTGCTATTGTTGGCATCTTTTTCCGTGCTGCAACTGAAGGCAATTTCCTCATTTTGTGCATCTTCTGTTCAGTTCAACTACATGCAAGAATGCTTTGAGAGGATCTTCTGTGAGTTAAAGTGGAGAAAAGAGGTACGTCAATACAAACCGTCTCTTTCAATAAATATATGAATGAAATCGCTCTCCGTACGTGCACAGGTGGAGGAGGACGCCGTAGACAAGGACAACAAGAACTACAGTAGAGACGGTATGTGTGGAAAGGTAAGCCTTCTCTTGCCTTTTGTAATCCCTCTATTCTTTTGTCAATTCATTCATGTATTTCTCAAATTACAGAATATTTTCCAGCAGCTGAGACACAGAGGGGAAGGAGGAACGTGGACTTTACAGAGACACTGAACCAGTGACCAAGTCGTCATGAACTACAAGTGAAACTGGAATTGATCTTACAAAAAAAACCTTTTCAAACCAAGAAGTGGTCGAGATCAGTGGTTCTCAAACTGTGGTGCTGCTCCGGCTTCTTCAGGGTGGTACGCGGAGTCCTTTGCAGTCCATTCAAAGTCGTTTCATTCCACACTTTTGTCCTCCTGGGTTAATCCTAATAGATTTACATAACATTAATATCATTTATTTAAGTGTTTTTTTTTTTTTTTTTTTTACAGGGTATAAGACTGTCAGGGTAGCTTTTTAAAAATCCAAATCCAATGCCTTCAAAACTTTAAATTTAGCAAAAAAAAACTGCATTCAATGTTGTGCCTTCAAGATCCAATTGAATTCATGAATGTATTTCAGCCTAAGCTTTTCTCAAGCAAATGTAGCCCTGTTTTTTAATTCTGTGTTACTCAAAATTACTTTTTCTTTGGGTTAAGCTCGTAAAAGCCCAAGTCAATTTTCAAGATCGTAAAGTTGTTTTTGCTTCTTCTTACCCCGCCTAGCAGGGGGTGAGAGGTATGTAATCTTCTATGTGTGTCCGTTCGTCTGTTGGCAAGATGGCGCAAAAACTACCGGACGGATTGTGATGAAATGTGTAGATGGGATGTGATGGTTGGAGGACCGCATTACAATCTATAGATCTGTGGCGTTGGTGGGGTATGCGCTCTCCGAGACCATATTCTGTTTGTATATTTGGTCGTAGAAGACAATTCTAAAGAAGCGGTGTTTAAAAGGGTTGAATTAGTGGAAAACCTGTTGTGTTGGCCTCACATTTTCCCTGAGCAGTACTTAAAAACTCTATTGGCTTCATCAAATCTGGAGAAGGCCAAATATTTACATCTGGTGTTTTGTGGATTTTTTCTGAGGTTGTGCTTGTGTGAAAAGTTGGAGAACCACTGGTCTCTGTCAGAATGTATGGAACAGCGTTTGCTCCGACAGCGCCATCTGGTGTAAGAGACACATAGAGCCCCATGCTTAATGCACCTGAGGATCAAAAAGGGTCATTGAATTCTCTCAATGCAATTTCTGTCTTTCAGTTTCATGATTGTTTCGTTTGTGTTCCTTTTTCAAAAATGAATTTAAAATGAAGCTATTTGTTCGTGCAAATATTCAAATCTACTTTAAAGCTGGAGTACCTAACTTTGAAACCACTGAGAATGTATTTATGTCCATGCAACTAGTTCCTTGCGCTCACAGCAGTTTGGTTCTATCACTAGTTTTAATACATGCATGTATTATTGTCCTGTCACAAAATGTCACTGAAATGAGACTCTTTCTGTTGGGACGAATGAGATGAATTTACAGATGGAAAATTTAGAACATCTTTAGCAAGTTCCTTTATTTCTGAAATGTAACTTAAAATCTGAAACCAAACTATGATACAGACTCATTCCATGTAAAGTGACATATACCTTTTTTGTTATGATGTTGATGATTATGGCTTAAAGTCCATTTTCTATTTCTTTACATTTCTTAGATGTTTTATTTGCGGTTCTTAACAAGCTGTGCGCCATTAGTTATCAACATTATGATAAAAAAGGCTTAATAGACTCATTACCCACAAAGTGAGATATATCAAACATTTGTTTTACATTGTAAGTGGAATTATGGAAGTAAATGGACTTTTTATGTTTCACTTGTATGAATTCAATAACAAGTTAGGTACTTCAGCTTTAAGACCACCATAACATTGCAAAACAATGCAAAAAATAAGTGTATCTGGATTTGTGTTTGTTAGCATAAATGTCCCGTTATTCCTACAGTATGGAATTTTTTGTTCTATTGAAACATCTGCTGAGACCCTAATTCAAGTAATTTATGATTTGTGTCATTTTTTTTTTTTTTGCAGTGTACCCATTTGAACGAAAGTCTCAAACCACATCCTTACTCCTTTTTGATTCTGATGTATCTGGATGTCATTGACTTGTATGCACTTTAACAACAGTATTAACTCTTGAGGCATTCTTCATGTTTACTATAGGATTTATAAATGATCCACAAACTCGCTGTACAATTTGTAATGGCTAAAGATGATGACATAAATCTATTGCACAGCAGAGGTCGTTGTTCTCCTGTCTGCTCTGCGCACCTCCCTGATTACTGTGAAAGCTCCAGGATTTATAGATTCTCTCTCTAATTTAACTAGTCTTTCCCACATCTCTATACAGTCAGCTAGATTTCTATATTAAATCATGCGGGCCAAAACCCGGGTTCCTTTCAGGACACGGATAAATATGCATACAACAGTAATTTTCCATTCAAAAGCCAGCTATCAAAAAGGCAATGGCTATATGCTTTATGCCTGGGATTTTGCATTACATTATTCCACACATTCAGACTGGTCACGATGCAAACCTTGTAAGACGATGCAGCAAAACACTGAAGTGATTCTGAATAATTGTTAGTAATTAGAGATGTCACTTATGTCTAATATTTTTTCTTTTTCTAAATAATTGTCTCTTTAATCAGGTTAAACATGAAAAAAGAATACGCCTGAAATATGCTGACCAAAGACGTATACACTGAGAAATGTATCAAATGGTGTTTTAAAATCAATATTTTCAAAAAATTATTTGGTCCACTTTGAGTCGTCAGTTCACCACAGCCCTATAAATCTGGAAGACTAAACATTTAGTGCAGTGCTTTCATTCAATGATAAAATAATTACAGATTTTGAAATGCCAGTCTTAAATGTGGGGTACCTAACTTGCATAGTTTTGTAAAAGTACAATTGTTAGAGCCCTCTGAGTCACTAATTGACACTTTGAGATGAGTCATCCTCTCAAGAGGAACTAAAACTGACCAAAAACAACATGTAGTTCACAATTTTCTTGTGTGGATTGAGAATAAGGTTCCCTAGCTTCAAAAATCTAAATATAATTACATACACGATCATTACAGGCTGAACAAAAATGGAGAAATTATGTGTGCAAAATACATTAGCCATCAGCTCTCTCGCCATTATAACAGGGGAGGTTTATAATTCCCTATCTGCGCAGCAGCCAAGAACACATTCAGATGGTAGTGAAATAATTATAAAGCACTGAAATAGTGGTAATTAGGGCCCACGATTACAACTTGTTTCTCACACACATAGACCGTATAATATGAGTGGACTAAGTGCTGATGTTCTAACAGTAGGGTTGTTAAATGTGGTTTAATGAACGTCAGATCAATCTCGTCTAAATCGCTTCTCATAAACGAACTTATTATAGACAAGGGCTTGGATCTGTTTGCGCTCTCGGAGACTTGGCTCCAACAGGACGAGTACGTTAGATTGAATGAGTGCACTCCTCCGACGCATGTTAACTACCAGAAAGCCAGAGCTACAGGTCGCGGCGGTGGTGTTGCGATTATATCACACACCAACTTGGTTCTTAGTCCCAAAACCAACAACGCTTTTCACTCGTTTGAAAACTTAACACTTTCAATCACCTGTCCTGGGTGGAGAAAACAAAAAGCAGTACTATTTATAGTTTTATACCGACCTCCTGGTCCTTACAGCGAGTTCCTAACAGAATTCTCTGACTTCATTTCAAACCTAGTTTTGGAATGGGAAAACATAGTTATAGCTGGAGACTTCAATATACATGTGGACGACAGCACTGACAGCTTAAACAAAGCTTTCAGCGCCGTACTAGATGGTGTTGGTTTTACTCAGAATGTCGAGGAACCTACTCACATTCATAACCACACCTTGGACCTTGTCCTGACCTACGGCTGTGATGTCTCCAATGTTGACATCCAGCGTCAAAGCTCGTTGCTGTCTGACCATTTCTTGATCACGTTTGATCTCGCTTTGGAGGACTTTCCTGTCCCGCAAGATAAAACCATAATGAAAAGAACCTTAAATGATAAATCTATCACAAGGTTCAAAGAACTAATACAGCCTATGTTGAATACTGCTGCAGGTGAACCTGTTCACAGCAGCTGCAGTCCCTCAGTCATCGACCAAACGGTGGGCAACACTATGGAGTCTTTAAAATCTGCATTAAATGCAGCAGCTCCTTTAAAACAGAAAACCATTAGGATTAGATCATCGTCGCCCTGGTACAGTGTTCAACTCCACACTTTAAAACAGGACGTCAGAAAATTGGAGAGGCTATATCGCCACTCCCACTCGGAGCCTGTCCACAGGGAGTGGAAAGCAGGTCTCCGAAACTACAAGAAGGCCCTTCGCGGGGCTCGAACTCAATACTATTCAACTTTAATAGAAGCGAATAAAAACAACAGTAGATTTTTGTTTGGTACCGTCGCTAAACTCACAAACTGCCATAGCGCAATCGAGCCTAAAATTCCAAGCTCACTGAGCAGTGTCGACTTTCTCCACTTCTTTAATAATAAAATTACATCCATCCGTGACAAGCTGGAGGAGGTTGCTCCTGCTGTTAGTGGTGGACAGGTTGAAGCGGCATACGTGACTTCCCACTTAGACTCTTCAGTGGGCCTTAATAAATTCATGGCTGTGAGCCAAGCAGAGGTGATCTCTGTGGTCACATCCTCAAAAGCCTCAACTTGCATGTTAGACGCAGTCCCGACATGGCTCTTCAAAGACATACTTCCTTTGATAATTGAGCCTATCGTAAATATAATAAACGCATCCATACAATGTGGCTATGTCCCACAAGCTTTTAAAACCGCGGTAATCAAACCCCTTCTGAAGAAAACAAACCTGGACCCAGAAATACTTACAAACTACAGACCGATCTCGAACCTCACTTTTATATCTAAAATCCTGGAAAAACTTATAGCTGAGCAGCTCCGCTGCCACCTGCAGGAAAATGATATGTTTGAAGTCTTTCAATCAGGATTCAGAGCTCATCATAGCACTGAAACGGCACTAGTCAAAGTCACAAATGACTTACTACTAGCTGCCGATAATGGACAAGTGTCAGTGCTGGTCCTACTGGACCTTAGTGCTGCATTTGACACAATAGACCACAGCATTCTACTGCAGAGGCTAGAAT